TATTTATTAATATACTATAATTAACAAATCATTTGTAATGTATTTAATCATACAATCATAGAGTATATTAATCTTTCATTTAATTTATTTATTGTTATTTTTTATATTTAAAAAGTCAATTTAAATTATTTATTAAATTTATTTACTATGTATTATCCATAAAATATTAATATTATATCAATATAAATAAGATTTTGCGTGTGTATATATAAATAATTTATATTAAAATCTCTTATAAATACAAATCTGTATTTGCTTTTATTTTTCTATAAATTTAAAATAAACTATTTATATATGTTAACTATTTATATTATATAAAAGACAAAAATAATTATTTATTAATTCAGCAATAATACAGTATAACATATTATGAAATTTGTATCCTAAGATTATAAGTTAAACGTAGGTTTAAGTTATTTTGGTTTTTTATTTGTTAGTTACTTAATAATCGACTTTTATTTATTGTGTTCAAATAAAATTATTTAATGCTATTTAAAGTTAATTAAAGTTTACTTAATTAACTATTTAATCGGATAATACAAAATGTGTATTACACATACTCTACTGCAGTTTAACTAAAAACATTATATAATATTATATGTGTTTTTCCGTTATAAATTACTGTCCTGAACCTGGTTAAAAACAATACAATTTTTTTTAAATATTAATAAATTTACTAATCTTTACTTTCTTTAATGTCCTATATTATGTAATTAATAAATTATTGTTGTTATTAATTATAATTTTTGACATTTAATTATATTCTTAAGGATTAATGTTGACAATAATGTTATACTATTTTTTTTGTTATCTAATAATATAATAATGCATTTATTTTATAATGACATTTATGGTAAGTACTGTACAAAACTGTATAAAAAAAGTAAAAATTAAGAAATTGTTTTTTATGTTATAATTTATTATTGTCTAATATATTGTCTAAACATTTTTATTCTTATACTTTTTGTTTTATTTAATATATCTTTATTTGATGTAAAAATTAAAATTTTTAATAAATTTAACAAATAATTTTTTATATTAATATATTGAAATTTTTATATTATGATTATAGATTTATAATATTATTGATTAAACTTTAGTTAAACTATAAAAGTGAATATAGACTAAATACTATTGATATATATTTTAAAAATTAACTTATATAAATATATATATAAGTATTAATGATACTAATTAAATGTATTCAATATAATTAATTTATATTTAAAGTTATATTATTAAACAACAATTTAATAAACACATAGTTTGATATTTTATTCATTAGTTTAGTTAGTTTATCTAATGCTAAAACATTGTAATTTAAAAGTTAATTAATTAAATTTAATTAAAATTAATTAAAAGTTAATTATGTTTTGTCCATTTTGCTTAAGTAATAAATCACAACTAATGATTGATAATTTAATTATAATATACTGTATGAATTTTATTGATATACAGTATTTATATTATATTAGTTTCATATCATTGAAAACATTAACAAATTAGAAGTCAATATTTAATTGATTAAAAGCAAACTCTAATTTATATATATATATATATATATATATATATATATTATCAGTGAACCTAATAGTAGTGTTCAATAATATGTCAATTTCTATTTATGATTTTTCAATATATATATTATTGTATATGTGCTTTATCTATGAAGAGTACTGTATATATATCAATTTATTTGTACAATATGTGTATATGTATGCATGTATGTGTTTTTTCTTTGGGTGGTATTATAACAATACTAAAAAGTTTATATAATATAAAAGATATATTTAAATAATTTAAAAATAAATACAGATTTTTTCATTTAATAAAAAAGTATATCTATATAAAAAGCAAATTTAAATACAAGTTTAAATAATATGTTATCCAATATCATTTACATAATTCTATAGCAAAGAATATTTTTCAAATTAAACCATTGAGTAAATATAGTTTTTTTTAAAAAAATCTCAGTTTACATAAAAATTATTATGTTTATATTTATAATTTATTTACATTTTATAATGCAAATGCAAATTGCGTTTAAATTGATAAATTGTTGAAATTTTAAAATAAAATATACTTTTATGATGACGATGATAATAATAATAATAAGAATAATATTAATAATAATATTTTATATACTTTTATGTTTACTAATTGGCATTTAAAATGAGAAAAATTTTATTATAAGATTTTTGTTTGAATTATTATTTCTATTATAATCATTATTATTTTATTATGTACTTAGATTTTATTTTATACATAATTTAATATATATATTTAAAACAAACCCTAAATCTGAAAATGTAAAAATTTGTTTTATAAATTAGTTAAATTATATTTTTAAGTTAAACAAACAAACAGGCACACACACACACACACACACACACACATACACACAATAGAAATTATTTAATAATTAGCTAAAATTATAAAACACATTATCTACAGTTTTCAAGTTTATACTATTAATAAATTATTTTTAGAAATTGAATTTATGCAATAATTTTAAAAACTATATATTATTGTATTACATTTCATTATTATGAATATATAAAATATTATTTGCTGTTATTTTGTTATTGTATTTATATTATTCTAAAAAAATATTTGCATAAATTTACAATCTTTTTATTTTTTTAAAAAATAAAATATATAAATTAAACACAATTTTCAAAATTCAATATTTGATATATTTTTTATTTATGTATTTACTGCAGTAATATTGATCTTATTTTTCAGTAAGTTTTTTATCTAAATCTTTTAAATAAAAGTTGTTTTTGAAAAATACTTTAGTTTTATTTTTATATATAATATATAAAACACATTTTAGAAATTCTATTGATATACCGTGTACTGTATATACAGTACTGTTAATACATAATTTATGTAGGCGAAAATATTATGTCAAATTTTATAAGTTATATTGTATTTAATATATATTTTTAATAATTTATAATTATTTGGTAAATTATATCTATATATTATTATTATGTTTATGTTTAATATAAATAATTTGTAACTATAACATAAATTTATGTATATAACTAATAATAGTTAATCATTCATAAACATTAAAAATATATATATTTTTAAATATTTTATTATATATTTATAATTTAGTGTAAAAACTTTTAAATATATGTGATTTATAATAACATTATTGTATAAAAATTAAAATAAGATTAAAGACATGATTTTTTTCTTTCACAAGTCAGTGCTTGTTATCGACAAAAAAGTATAACAATTTTTTTTATTTATAAATAACATATTTTTCAGTATAGATAGTATACTATATTTATTTATCAATATATTCTATAATACAGAATTTGATATACTCTGTCATACATATTTGTATTATATATCTTATATGATATAATAGACACTAACAGTAATATGATATAGACTTTTCAATTATGTTTGTTGTGTTAAGCTTTTCAATAAATCTTTTTCTCCCAATACATATACACTATACTGTATCTCAAAGCAATACAAAACAAATTGATATTACATTTTGTTTTTATAGCATTGTATGAGTGAGTGAGTGAGTGTGTGTGTAAATGACAAAGATTTCTTTCATATACTTAATTATGTTTTTTTGTATTAGTCATTGAGTTGTTTAAGCAATTGTTTTTCAATAATAAACTTTTGTTCAGTCGGTATATTTATTATTAATTTATTTTTAGGTAATCAAAAAATATAATGATGATCTAAATTGTAGATTTTTTATATTGTTATAATTACTTGAACTTTATATTAATTAGATTTAACATAAATAACTATTATATTTATATTAAAAATACATTTAACTTGAAAATGATAGTACAATTAGTACCAAATAAATTAATTTTAGCAAATTTATTCAATTTTATTCTGAAAATCTTCTTTATTAATTATGATATTGAATACATATATCATAAAAATTAAATCTACTAATATTTCATTAATTATAAATCAGTTATTGTTATTGAAATGCATTTTACTTGTATATAAAAAATATAATCTATAAATAAATATCATAATCAATATATTAGTTTATAAGTAAAACAAATATAAATGGGAAAATAGTAAATTTCATAAGAAAATTTCTCAAAAATTAATATCTATAAAAATTTTACTAATTTACCTCAAATACAGTATAGATATCTATTTTGATACATAATTTACACTAAACTACTATATAAATTGAATGTCTTGATATAAAATAAATACAATTCAATAATTTTAAAGTGATTTATAATAATAATTAAAACTTAAAAATTTAAAAACAAAATTAGTAATAAAATTGATTACTATGTTACTTTATATATCATTAAGATAATAATTATAAATTAACTTATTATAAATAATTATATGTAATGTTACAAAATGACAAATATTAATAAAACAAAATTAATGAAGGAATCTCAGACACAATTTTTTTTATAAATTTCTCTATTATTTTAGAAATATCTTTATTTTTGCCAACTCTAAAGAAAATATAGATAATATAATATGTTATTTACAATATTAATTCAGCAAAATATACAATAAATGTATATAAAAATATATATACGTAAATATGAATTGCTATTTAAAAAATTATCTAACTTATAAGTAGATAAAAATAATTTTTAAATCAATTCATATAATTGATAATTATTTGATTATTTAAAAAAAACAATATCTAAAATCTATTAATAAAATTATAAAAATTCAAATTTATTTATTAAAAATAAAATAAGTCAAACATTTTGAAAAATATATTTCTTATTACTAATAATTCAAATATTTAATATATATATTTTTACTAAAATAATTTATAAAAATGTTTACATAATATAAATAATAAATTGCTCGTTAAATATGATTATTTCTATAAATATTATCAAAATATATTTGATATAAAATATAAATATAATATTTATATATAATTATATGTTCATTAGTTATGTAATTAGTGTTTTATACACTTTTTGAAAACTATATAAAATTATCGATTTTTCAGTTTTAACTTTTTTCATAAATTTATATCAAAAAAAATATTTAACGAACAGAAAAAATATGAAATCTAATATAAACCATATTTTTATATTTTATATTATTTTTACTGTAATTTTTGGTGGTATGAGATTTGATGTTAAATTTTTTTGTCCTTTATTTAGAAAATAGTTTAGTTAATAATAAAAAAGAATTTATATATATATATATCAAATAGCTTTAAAAAATCTATTTAAAAATATTAAATTTATTTTTATTAATATTTTTTCTTTGTTTTATTTCAAGTGTCCGCCAATAGTGTCAATAAAGTGATGTCAAAAAAGTCGGCCAAAGAGTGTTTCAAAGTTTACCGAAAAGATGTAGAATATGTGACCCAAGTTCTGGAGCAGAGATCGTTGAGTTTGAACCAGTCGTTTGAGTCGGAAAAGGGTTATATGAAGACAACAATTGAAAAGTTTCGCCGATCGCTGGATAGTATGGATCGACTCTACGATCAGTGCCGAGTAGTTAAGTTTGCCGACAGTTACTGTCTTCACGGCTGCCAAACCATGAGCTCCGAGTTCGCCAGATATACGGTTTATGTCTTTCAATTGTTGTTGGCTGTCGATCGATATGACAAACTATACGACACTACTGAATGATGATTACCTACAAAAAAAAGTGTTTTAATCATTCAAACATTTATTAATTTAATTATGATTTCTTTTCTTTTTTTGTATTTAAGCAAAAAATATGACTGAAAATAAAAATTGTCAAAATTAATTAAATTTTATTCGTTGAAAATTAATTATTTATTCCAGAAATTAGTTTATTATGTCTATTAACTGTACATTTTTTTCCATAAAATATTTTATTTGATTTATTTAACAAGAATTATTTTTATGCAAATAATTTTAATTTATCAGATTTCGGTATTAATATATATATACACCTTATATAAAACCTTATAAGTTATATTTGTAATTTAAATTCAGTAAATTCTGTAAATCCTTATTAAATATTTATTAAACTTGTTGAGCAAAAAAATAAATTTTATTTAATTTAAATTTTAAAATATCAATAAATGTTTAGAACTTTATTATAAAAATAAAAACATTTTAAATATTATAAATATATAATAATTTTATGTAAATATTAATTTTAAAGTATAAGTATAACATTAAAAAATATTTTTATTTTATTTATTTTTGTAATAATTAACTTATAAATTTTAAACATAAAATGTTGTTATATAAAATATATTGGTAATAATAAACTAAAATACAACAAATTTATTTGAAATATTTACATTATAATAGTCACGATTCTCATTAAAATAATAGCATATTATTTGTGTTTACAATTAACTAATAATATATCATTTGAATATGAAATTTTTAAAAACTAAAATGACAAATATTTTAAACTAATTTTGTTAATATAACATACTCTATATGTTTAAAATAAATTTATAATTTTCATTTTGTTTTATTTTCAAATAATGGAATATTTCTATTTTATAATTAAAAAAATATATAAATTTGAAAAACTAATTATCATAAAATTTTTAATGAATTTTTTAATTAATTAAACAAAGACATGTTAAAACATTAATGTTCAAAATATTATAAATTAAATATTAAACATTAGCCAATATAATTTTGCAATGTTAATCAGTTACAATTTCAAGATTTTAATATAATAAAAATTAATATAATATTGATTATTGATTTTTGACATATACTAATACAATTTTGATAAATTTTAAATATAATTTAGTTATCAATTTTTATTTAATTTAAATCATTAACTATATATTATTTCTATAATAAATACTAAATTATTTAATAAATCATATTATGTACTATAAAAATATTAGAAATTTGGCAATAATGCAAAATAAACAATTAATGTTAATATTTATATAAGGAAAAAACATAATGAGCTTAATTAAAATTATATTATACATTAGTATTTATTTGATGACCAAAAAATTATTTTCAATAGCTATGATAACAATAACTCTAGTAATTAGTTTTATTAGTCTAACAATCATTACAAAAGGCTATGTTTTGTGTGCTAATAATAATAATAATGAAAATAGTTATACAACTATTGGTAATATTGAGCCAAACGTCGGCGATCTTATTGAATGTGAAAGAAATAGTTTGATTACATACAGTCATTGGGCTGTTTATGTTGACAATGGACAGGTGGTTCACTTTACACCGGGTGATGATGGACATTACTCTGTACGAAACCAACCAATAAGCAAAATGGCCAGAGATAGTGAGTGTCGGATTAACAATCAGGAACGGGAGGCCAGCAAACGGGGCTTAAAACACAGGGATCAACAGGATATTGTAGATTATGCTGTCGGGTTGGTTGGCAAAGACAGGGAGTTTGATATTATTAAAAATAATTGCGAACACTTTGCTACTGAATGCCGATATATACATGGATTTAGTGTACAGTCAGAAAGGTATGACCGACCAGTTATTGGTGCAGTCATCTCATGGTTTAGTTCATTGTTTTCAATTAGTTCATAAAAATATTAATGATTTTTTAGGTACAAATAATATGTTAATACAATAATAAGTGGTTCATAAGTGTAATATAATTGTTATTAATTGATAAAATCTTTATAAATTTATTAAATTAAATTTATATATTATTATTTTATTAATAAATCCATTTATTAAAATTAATATAATCAAAGTGCGATTAAAAAATATCATAAAAACACAAACATTATAAATAATATAAAAACTATATAAAAATAAAAATATTTTATGAGAGATAATTTATTTTTTAAAAATTACTTAATTTTAACTATTGTTTATTATTTCTTTTGCTCACAACTATTAGTACCAGAGCTACGGCACCGACAGCCACAGCTATCCATACCCAACAACACTTACATTTTTGCTTAGTCTTATCGGATGACTGTCCGCTATCATGAGTTGGCAGTCTTTGTCCAATAATCGGTGGTTCGTCTTTCGGTTCAATCAAAACTATTTTATTTTCTTTACTTTTATGCGCCGACTCTTCTGTCTTTGGTATTAAATTTGTGTCCACCGGTGCCGTCAATGTTACCGATGACTTAGATTTATTATCATCAGTTGATTCAGTGTCCGATTTATTATCAGTTTTTAAAATATTTTTTAAATCAGATTTAGAAATTTTATTGACATTTCTGTCTTTGGATTCATTTTTCGATTCTTTTATTATCACTTGTTTTGAATCCTTTTTCTGGTCGTTTGACTTAGTTTTCTGGACTTCGGGTTTTCTGTCCTTCTTCTGGATTGTCACAAATATAACTGATTCTTCTTTATTGTGGAGCACCAGATGGGCTCCGGGACCTAAATTAATGTTACGTTGTCCATGATTTAGGAAATAATAGTCACCAGTTTGCTCGACCACAAACACTGGCATTTTAAGCAATACTGTTGCACCCGATTCGGCAATCAGACAACCATTGGCCGCCACAATAACCATATAATCCTTAGACTGATTGCCAACTTTGGCCACTAAATAACGATCTACTTTTAATGACATGAATGGCTTTGAATAGTAAGTGGCAACACCTCCATCAATGGTCACATAGGTTTTAGTTGGAATCAATTGTAGTACTGTTCCGCAAAATTGTTTGTCATCTCCCCGTCCAATGTAATACAGTGTCTTTGCTTTAGTCATTTCAATTGTGTCGAGCACTTTGTTGGTCACACTTTGTATATTAAACTTTATAGACATCCGATTAAACTTCTGGTGTTTTGCTAATCTGATGGACTCATCTTTCGGTTTTACATCTTTGACGACAGCTTTGTCATTGTTTGTCTGAACTATCTCTTTGGTCTCAATTGATCTCAATGTCATTGTCGTACTGATCAATGGTTTTGGTCTCAATCTTTACCGGATCAGCTATTGATCGCAGTTTTACAGGCATTATAATACACAGATAGCAGATAATCTTCAATTAATATTCAATTTTTTTTATTTGTCCGTTAAGTGTCTCGTTTTTGGAAATATATTATTAAATATTATTTAACGGTTATTATTATGTTTTGTAGTTAAAAATAATCTAATAAATCTTATCTTACTATACAGTGTATAGTATACACTATAATATATGGTTGCATTATGAAACTTTCATATATAAACATTGTTTAGTATATATATAAAGTACAAAATTTAGTTTAAAAAGAGATATACTGTACTGTATATATATATATATATATAAATAATATTGATATTAAATTATTTTAAGCGATACAATGATATGTGAATAAACTACAGTATATTACTTAACATTTTAATAAGTTAAACGTCTTTAACAAAAAATCACATAATTTACAAATTATTGTAAGAAATAGAGATAAAACAAAATAACAACAAAAAAGACAATTTTGTAGCAATAAATTAGATAATAGATAGTCATTAAAAAAATAAATACTAGAAATAATATTAGTCATTAGTAAGACATTAGAAAGTTATGCTAAAATAACATCCATGTCTTTCAAGCCTTATGTTTGTTGGTGGCGGCGGTTTGTGCGGGTGGTGGTAGTTGTTTAGCCGTAGCAGATGCCGGTGGTTGGTTGGCCGCAGTAGCGGTTGCCGGCGGTTTGATGTTATCGGCTTTTTCGATGTCAGACGGAACCGACTTTTGGATAAATCGTATCAACAAATAGACCAAAATAGCCGACACAATGACAACCAGCAGAACCAATACCTTCAGGACGTACACTATAATACCATATTTATGTGATTCTCCTATAAAACAGTAATTATATAAAGTTATAAATTATATGTAATATTATATCCAAAATTGTTGGGTAATTGTTTTTTTTAGTGCACTTTCACTCACTGCTGATGACAATATTGATGAAGAAGCAGACGATTTCGCCGACTATAACGGCCAGACAGCCGATGACAAACCACCACAAGAACTTCTTGTTTTGACTGTGAGTGCCGTACATAGCGATACCGGTGACCACAGCGTAGGCCACATATCCGATAATATGAAGGATAGACATCGGAGTGGAATAGCTGTCGTCATCGTGAGCTTTGTTATATCGTATGCTATACCATATGATTACAGCTATGGCAGTGGCCATACATACTATCAGATCATAATAAACCCATTTCCTCAATACGGTCTCTTTTTTTGGCAACTCTTTCACTTCTTGTATAACAGCCATGTCTTAAATTGTGACAATTAGATGATGTGTTTGCAATTCAAAGGCTTGGCTATCGTTTGTTAACTACAATGTTGTCAAATAATTAATTTGATTTATAAATTAAAATTCAAAACTAATTTCATTAAATATTGTTAACAACGAGCAATTAATTTTTAGTAAATAACTGCAATACATTTTATTTCAACATTTATAAAATAGAAATATTTTTTTTTGTCATTTAAATAAAAAATTGTTTCTCAGATTAAATGCTTTTTATAAACTAATTAGAAAACTAATAATTTGTTATCTGTAGCTAAAAATATAAAAAATATATATAATTCACTTTTGAAAACTTCATTAAACATAATTGATAATTGGATTGAATAATGTGTCAAATATTGATTTGCAAATTAAATGCCTTTTCCGCAAATTATTACTTTTTATTTTATTGATCGGCAATCTAGTATCGGATATATCTTTGACGCACTTTTATCTATCAATATATATATATATATATATATATATATGTTTACTTTTATTTCAACATTTCAAAAAATCACATTTATTTTTTTATCTATCATTTGACACATTGACTATAATCAACATATTAGTGGTACTGGTTATCTGTTTTAGTAATGCAATGTTTTACGAGTTTTCCAAAGGATTGTTGGTTTAAATGGGCGCTTATTTTACCGATTTGGTGGACAAAGATTTTTTTATATTAAGCGCAGTTTTTTAAAAATAGAAATTGATTTTAAAATGAAAACAAATATCAATAAAAAAATGTTTTAGCAAAATATTAAATTGTATGTCAAATATTAGAAATTTGTAGTTTAAAGAAATAATAAAAAAAATTAAAAAAAATTAACTTAATATTTGACTATTTTTTTACTAACTTTTATATGAACTTAAACTATATTTTTAGCACCTTTGAATGAACAGTCTAATAATTATGTAATAATGAATATATACTATTTAATTGAATTTTATAAAATTTTTATTGAAGTGTTGGACATTCTGTCAAAACATTCAGTAATTGTTAGGAAATCTGAAACCAAATTTTTGAAAAGCTTTTAGTCTTTCGATTAAATTGGTGCCAACATTACGAAACTGAGCCAACTCTGCCGTATTGATTGTCGGCAAAAACAATTTGCGCCAATTGTTTCTGTTTTCGTAGACCGGATTTGATAGACTGCCATTGAGTGTCCACTTGAAATGATGGTTGTCCAACAAATTCGGGAGTTCCATATAATGGTGATATCGTTGATAAATTATGATTTCCGGCGGAAGCATTGTCTGAATGTCCGAACTTTTATTGTAATTAACATTACAGAGACAAACCCAATGGTATAATGAGTCGTCGGCCGACCAATTGGTGTCATCCAAAGCAATGAATACATTGAATGTGTCTTTGAAATAATCTCTATCGAAATAATTTTTAGACAACGAGAACACTAAGTGACCGACCGTTTTGTTGTTGTGTCGGTATTCATATATAAAGGCGTCTGAAATGCAATCCAAACGCATTACCGGTTCAATTGAATACTGTTGAGTAGTATTTGTCAAATCTTTAGACACTTTAATCCAATCAAATTCAATGTTATGTAAGTTAAAGTCTCTTATAGTGTAGAGTCCATAGACATAATTGATTAATTGATTTTTTCCCATCAATAGTGACCGACAATCATAAATACTAATCTGCAATGTGTGCAACCCTTCACCGACAATGACAATGAGTTGTTTGTATGGCAACCCAAATGTCCAATTGCCGATATAAGACATTGTATTGTTGTAAACAGTTTCTGTTCTTAACACACCTTCACAACAACARAAGGTATCCTCTTTAAGCAATGAAGTGAAGAATGAATTTTTTGTTCGGGTCTTATCGAGAAACGTTTCGGTGATACTCAGTAGACCATCGTTTGAGACTAAAAACACCGATCGATCGGATAAATACTTTGTTTGATTAAGTACTGGAAATGTGTTGCAATCGGTTGTCACACGAAATATCTCGGAATTGATTGGTGCAAACACCCCCCAGACTGGACACGACCGACAATGTCTTTCCAGGACTCGACTGATTAGACGAACTTGATTTGTAGATTTTACGGCTGACTTTTTGTAAGATATAAGTATTGCTGAATATGTTGGACATCTGGACACTGTTGTATTTGTAGGATTGTCCATAAATATAACTGATCGCATGTTTGACTCGACATTGTCTTTTTGAACCAATGCAAGATATAAACCACAAGTGTATCCATTGGGCAGATCGTCATAAATATTCTGAAGCGGTATAGGCTTATGATTGGCAGTCATTAACACTGGAAATACCGAATCATTAAATAAATATTTAACGCTTTGGGGAATCTCTGGTCTGACTTCTGATGTATCAATGAGTATAACTTTTACACCAAACTTCATATCAATCGTCTCCGACCAACATATGAGCGCCGATTGAATTACAGTATCGTTTGTCTCAAAGTGTCCGATAATTCTATCTAATTGTTCAACAATACTGTTTGGCGGGGCATTGGCTCCCTGTGTGCCAAACACCGGTGCAATAATAACTGAACTGTTGTTTTGTGGATCTGTTTCCTGAACAGTCATTAGTTTGTTTTCATCAAAACCCATGACTTCTCTTCCGTAAACAGATCTTATACTTCCTGACTTTAGGTACAATGGTTTTGCATTTGTTGCCATTATCTTTGTGTTTGTATTTTACACTTTTGACATATTTGACACTTAACCGTTCATTAAAAACATTCAAATATATTTGAAATTATGTTTGAATTAAATAATTGGGTGTTATTTACTTTAGGTCCCACATTGTTGTTCTTATTTGATATACAGTTATGTATAACAATATGCAAATTATTTCTTTATTTTAAATTAGTTTAAGTTAGGTTAGGTCACGCGGGACAACAATGTGTGACCTAAAGTAAAGGTCACCCAAATAGTTTGTTAACTATACATACAGTATATTAAAATTAAAATGATTAGACATTGAAGAGTGCGGACAAGCAATTGTTAATATATTTTTGTTAATAAAATTTTATAAAATCGACAATTAATTAATTATATAAATATGAATTACAGGTCTCACATTTAGAATCGAAAACTTTTGTTAATACTGATTGACACATAAATTAATAAATAATATTTTTATATTTGTCTCTTAAAACATATTTTATTACTCAACAAGTTTTTTCAAATATCTTTTTATATATACACTTAAGTAATTTAACAATACTAGTCATCGATTTTCAATAATTACTGATTAGTCGACTCACTGGGTTGTCGGTAACTATTGGCCAAATAAATGATTGCAATGGCAGCCCCACCGACCATCGCTGCTATGATAAACCAATGATATTTAGATCTACGGTTCGCATTGTCGGGAGACTGTTCACCACCGCCACCACCGCCACCACCACTGCCAACGTCTGCCGATGCGATAACCGGCTCAGTGATTGTGGTCTTCGGTTCTGTCGATAAATCACTTTTTGACTCTAATATGGGATCACTTTTCTTAGAAAGCGGCGGCAAATTTGTCAATGACTTACTACCAGCTGATTCAATGTCCGATTTGATGACTGATTCTTTCTCAGGTTCATTGAAGTCTGCAGACGATTCTGTCTCCGACTTACCACCAGCTGATCCAAAGTCCACTTTTTTCGCTTCTTGTGATTCTTTTTTCGCTTCTTGTGATTCTTTTTTCTCTTCTTGTGATTCTTTTTTAGGCTCAGGTTTCTTCAAAAGTGGAAACGTTTCTGTCGATGACTTAACACCATCTGATCCAATAATTGATTTCTTCTCTGTTTTTGACTCTTTCTTAATCTCAGGTTTTGGTGATTTTTTATCATCTTTTTTGATGTCGGATTTGTTGTCTTTAATCAATTCTTTTGCTTTTGAATCCGATTTAATCTCAGATTTCGATGATTTTTTCTCATCTTTTTTGGTGTCCTTGGAATCCGATTTACTGTTCTTATCTTTGGACAGATCTTTAAGCAAATCCTTTACTTTTGTATCTGATTTGTGATCGATTTTTGGTTTGTCTTTCAAAATCTTTGAGTCCACTTTCTTTACATCTTTGACCTCCAATTTCTTACTTCCAAATATAGGCTCTTTTTTCTCATCTTTTTTCACTTCTTTTGATCCAATTTTTGGTGTCATATCCTTTGTCTTAGATTTAGTCGCCAATAACGGACTGTCTTTTGATTCCTTCTTTGAATCTTTACTTTCTGTTTTAGTCACCGGTTTTGTTATGGCTTTCTTGTCGTCTTTTTTGATGTCTTTCTTGTCGTCTTTTTTGATGTCTTTCTTGTCGTCTTTTTTGATGTCTTTCTTGTCGTCTTTTTTGATGTCTTTCTTGTCGTCTTTTTTGATGTCTTTCTTATCGTCTTTTTTGATGTCTTTATTCTCTGGTTTTTTGGCACCAAATATATTGTCTTTTTTCACATCTTTAATCTCAGGTTTGGCACCAGATTTTGAACTGTCTTTCTTGATATCGGATTTCATACTTCCAAATACGGGCTCTTTTTTCCCATCTTTGGATCCGATCTTTTGAGCCAAATAAGGACTCACTTCCTTACTGCCAGTTTTAGACACAGATTTTGGATTGTCTTTCTTGACATCTTTGACATCCGGTTTCTTTGTTTTGTTCTCCGAACTCGACGTTTTAGATCCCGTCTTAAGATCTTTGTTTTCGGGTTTAGTCAACGATTTTGGTGTCTCTTTTTTGCCCTTTGAGTCATCTTTTTTGGCATCTTTTGTCTCCAGCTTTTTGTTGTCGCCTTTTTTCGAGTCTTTTGAGTCCTTTTTCATTGCTATCGGAAAACTGTTTGGTTTCTGGTCTGCTTTTAATCGTTGAAACCGTTACTATAATTATCAGATATTATTAAATAAAAAAAAACTGTTTTAAATTTTTATTTGTCAATTAAAGCGTGATTTTATCGCGTGATTATGTCTTTTTGCTTATTATATTATATAATAGCTTTAAAAATTTAAATAATTCTGTAAATTATTGATCATTAATAAACAAATAAAATAATCAGTTAGTAATTAATAATTAAATCATATTAATATCTATTTCGGATAAAAAAAATTAAAATAATTTTTATAGACATATTATGAGTGGACAACCAGTTATTGATATGATTAACAACTCAGACATTACAAGATATAATAGTATTGTCTATTCATTGGTCAACAATCCATACTTACTGAAAGTCATTTGCCAACAAATGGACGTCAAAACGTTGGCCAACTGTATTGCAGTGAGCCGTGAGTTTCACGATATAGCCCAAGAAGTAATGGAAAAACGTCACGGTTTGCAGCACCTGATGCTCAAACACAACCGTGACATTTATGACGACATGCGTCCGTTTGCAACTGCACTAACAGATTGGATCAATTCATCGATTGATTTCAAGCCTCGCACAGCATTTATACTATTTGGCGGCTATAAGCGGACACCGGACTATCGCAAAAGTATTAATACACTAACAAAACTGACCTCCGGGTTTCCCAATGGCTGTCAAATTGTTTATTTGGATGTCGGCCCGCGAGTCATAAAGAGTGGACAGTCACACAATACGATAACCATTAACACTATCGCACAGAATAATAAGTTAGCCATCAATCCATTAATTCAGTCGAGTGAGTGATATTCACATGTATTTTGAATGCTTAATAAAATAACTATATCTTTGATTATATTTAAAAACACAGAAATGTCGTGTATATTGTTATCTAACATATCGGGCATTCAGGTAAACACCTATCGATCGTTGGACGCCATCGTCGACACCGCAAACATCAAATGTGTAATATATTTGAAATCAATGAAAATTATCAATCGATCGCATCAGTCGTTTAATATAATCAGAAAGATCAACACCGAAATTCGTGTTCTCAAACAACGATTCGGAGGACAAGTGGCCATTGCTGGTGGACTTATAGATGCGGCCAAATGTTGGTTAAAGGGTGAGCCGCCGCGTTCACTGCCTAACCCAAACAAACCAAACAATAAGGCTCGAGGACTTGACGAAACATTTTTGGCCGATCCAGTGATTATAACGTTTGGTGGACCGAACCTGTTAGCCGCCAGTTTGGTATTGTCTTACGGCTGGTATTACATCAATCAACTAATTGGTGGATTTAAGGCTGAATTGGATCCACAGTTCACTCTCGATGACCCGAATATCATTACTCAGGGCATACTATTTGGCAATAAAATGATATGCAAAGGATTTTACAACACTGTACTCATCAATGCTTTCAAACAACACTTTCCATCCGTTGAATTGTTTGGGTTTCGGTCAAAAAAGTTTATGTTTGGTACTACCTGTCCATCTATTCATGAACCGAATATAACAGTTTACAATAATAACCCAAACCTTCCCTATCATTCATTGTATCCAAAATACAATTCAGTGCTGCTATTAATCAGCTATCGTATCGATCCATAGAAAACATGAGATCACAAATATAATATTTGCTAACTTTTGTTTTATTTTATTGTTAAATATATTGTTTCTCATTTCAATGTTTGAATAAAAGTTGTTTTCAAATCTAATGGGTTTCTCTAATAAATTTATTTATTTTTACTTTAAGTAATTTTATTCAATTAATAAGATTTTGATTTAATTTTAATGTATATATCTTTAAACACAATATATTACAATTACAATCTGTGGCTGATTTCTAATGTGTTTGAGAAAACAATAATTACAATCAAATAATATGGTTTGTCAATAGGTATTTACATTATATGTATAAACTTTATTAAACGTGTATATCTATCTGTTTTCTACTAAATACAAAATTATTATACTATACAGTATATACAGGTCTCGCGATTGAAAAATTATTCATATTTTACTAAAACAAACGGTCATTCAATTGCTATCACAGCAAACAACAGGTGTTTAGCTATTGAGAGACACATAACTTTGGTTTTTTGTATACCAATATCATAGAGATAGTGGTCATTGTCATCGTCATTGCCGCCGTCATTACCACTACTTCCGACAACTTGAGTCACGTTAACGATGAGTGAAGACGAATCAAAGATACCGTATTCGGATCGCGTATTCGACAACAAAAGAACCCGAAGCTCCACAACAGCCTTCCTCATGGGTTTTGCCACCGGATCGATGATACTCTTCTATTTCTATCGATTGGCCAACAAGTAAACCATTGTCCGCCCGCCCGCCAGCCATTGTGTGTGTGTATGTGAGGGAAAGGGATCAGAAATGGCAGATATTTTATTTGATAGAAAATTGATATTAAATGAGAAATTAAATTATATATAAATTTTTGATTATTATTATCATTAAAGAGTTATTATTATATGAATATAGTTTTATTTTCTGTTGACACCAAAAAAAACGTAAATAAATTTTTTGAAATATTGAGAAAATAAATTCTTAAATTATCTTTTATATTATATTGTATTTTATTGATATTTATTCATTAAAAATAATTTTCGGTAGTTAATTAGTACTGTATATTAACTAAAATAAAATAATCTAAAATTATTTAAATAATTAATTATACATTTGAGTAATACTTTTATTAATTATAGTAAATTTCAATATCTAAGTTATACATACTTTGGAAATTACTATTATATCTTAATGTTAATTACTGTCCTAATTTGTAAGAAAGTTTTTTTTTAAAATTTACAACATATTTACATTAAAGGTTGAAAACATCAATAAACGCATCATATAATGAGTGATTAAATTATATCTACAATATTGATAAATGATATTGTGATAAATAAATAAAATATACTATCTTATATTAAATAGAGTACAGTATAATAAATGAAACTAACTGATACCGGACTATTAGACGTCCAAAATTGAATAATAATAATTAGATTTTTGTTTGTTTGATTTAAATTAAATATTTTTAAATGTATACATTTTTAAGCCATGCAAAGCAATACTTTACTAACTTATTGTATGCAATGCTATGATTTAATAATATATATTGTAATAAATATTAATACTTTAATTTATTATACTTTAATAATACTATAATTTATTATAATAATAAATATATATTGGTATACAATTTTTACAATCAATATAATACAATATTTATATAATACATTTGATAGGCATAATAATTATTGAATATAATACTGAATATGAATTTTGTAATTAATTAATAACATAAATAATTTATTAGTTTTTCAACCAATTCTCGCGACAAAATTATTACAAATTTCAATTATATATTTTTTTTAAATTTCAGATTTAAATTCAAATTAATATTTGTCGATAAAAGAGCATAATTTATTTCAGAAATAATAAATTTGTCTCAAATTTGTATAACAACTAATATGACTGATAATACTTTACTAATCTTTGGTCTCGTAGTGTTGACCATTGTCTTAGTGTTGATTGTCTTATTGATAGTTATTTGGATTTACAGATATAAACTGAGAAAACGTTTAAAAGGCGGACATAATTTTGTAATTAAAAAAACTCCCAAAACGGTTGTCTTAGGCAAACATATTAAGACTCAACGAGACATCGACATTGACAGTAGTGAATCATCTGTGGACTCCCGTGAGGCCAAAAGAAACGGTTCGGATAGTAAACTATCACCAATGGTTTCGGGAGGATTTACAGTTTCCGATAGTCCACCGAAGTCGTCGGCAGACTATGATTTGGATGTAAAAAGCATTACTGATAGACAACCACAACTTAAACCATCAGAAATAAAGTCATCAGATATGAGGAAACAATCGATGCGATTAACTGATGTTAAGTCAAACAACAAATTGAATGAAACGAAAAATATTGTCATCGCTAACAATAGCAACAACACTGCTGTTAAAGACCTTAAGACTAAGACAATCGATACTAATGTTAGTCCAAAGAAATCACAGACAGGATCGCCATCATCTCCGCCGTCGTCTCCGCCATCGTCTTCGACATCGTCTCAGCCATTGTCTCAGCCATTGTCTCAGCCATCGTCTCAGCCATCGTCTCAGCCATCGTCTCAGCCATCGTCTCAGCCATCGTCTCAGCCATCGTCTCAGCCATCGTCTCAGCCATCGTCTCAGCCATCTTCTCCACCATCGGCTAAAAGCAATCTTCTGGCGGCAAAATCACAACAATCGCCGAAATCAACATTCAAATCACAGATCCAACCTATGGAGTCATTGGGGTTTGATGTCAAAAGTCAGACACTGGGATCTAATTTGAGTTATGCACCATAATTATATTATATAATTTACAGTTAATTACAAAATTATAATACTATAATTATAAATTATATAAATATCTAATATTCAATAGATTGATTTATTGATAAAAATAATATATATATTTTTAATTATGATACTAAATGATTTTATCAGACTAAATAAATTTATAATTTATCGTTTAAAAATATATTATAGATACAAAAAAACGTGATGATAATTCAAACATCAATGAATTTAAAATATTATATTTTTAATACATTTCATTTTTGCTTAATAAACTATAAATTAGATATAGTTTGTTTGAATTGACTAAAATCTACATAACATATCATATTTTGTCTCAATTATTTAATATTTTTTTTAACAAATTAACTCTTAGTTTATTATTGTTGTTTAACCAAAACAAATGACACCAAAAAGATTAGGTGTTTGTCAACAACTCAATCATTTGGTTGCACTGGTATTAAGTGGTAAACGGAGACAACGTATTTTCAGGACAGTCATCATTGGCAATGTTGTCTATACTATGATTTTAGGTGTCTCACTGTTCACCGAATTTTTTCGACTGTTTGGTCCCATTAGCCAACAGTTGATCAGTGAAAATAACTCGACAATCGATAGGCTATTTGTATTGAAATTGATCACAAAATTTGCGTTACTGTCGACTGCTATATCCGGTCATCTATGCGGTGTTTTTGGTACGACCCATAAAAAGTATTGGCTCTTATTGTGGAGTGTCGTCACCGGTTGTATAGCATCCATAATCTATGGCTATCTATTATTGTCTAATCTACAAGTCTTACCATTGATTATCATTATAGTTGGCTCACAATTGATTAACTTTCAGACCACACTATCTGCACTTAGTCTAATGATAGCAATGAATATCTACTTTAAGAAAACAAACGAAATAGTTGTCTAATAATTTGATATATTTTTTTGTTTATATCTTAAATATTTTATAACTTTCTGAAAAATTGTACAGTATTTAAAATGTGATTAAACATTAATTAGTAGCTTAAAGTCAGCAATAAAAAATATTGTAATTATACACTTTATATAACTTTATAAACTGAACTTTATATTAAATTTAAAAAAAATCTATATTTCTATTTGTTATTATTTACTGTAACTTTACTAAAATTAAAAAATAAATTTAATACCGTAATTTAAAATAATCATTTATCCATAAACATACTATTTTATTATTTCTATAAAATTATTATCGTTTTCTGATTTTAAAATAATCTCGTATTTTTGACCTACCCGTTCCCGATCCGGATCTCTGACCTGTTGTACCAATTAATTGTGGCTGTTCTGGTGGTAACTGTTCAAACAGTGGCTCGAGATCAGCGGACAGGGCCTCAACTAAACGGTAGTGCGGATCAAAGCTGTAGTCCATGAGTGTTACAATATGTTGAATACGATTCTTCAATTGGGAGTCCGCAAAGTCCGACACCGACAGTACAGCTTTAAAGACAGCACTCAACGAACGGATATCGTTATACTCTGTAACGCCTTGAATAGTATGACCGCGTGGTGTGCCTACCTGTGCTGTATAGACATCCATATTGAGTGCCGAACCAAAATCAATATATTTGACCACCACTTGTCCCGGTAGGTTAAGGTCTCGTATCTGTAACATAATGTTCCATAAACTGATATCTCTGTGCACAACACGCTTACAGTGCATATACTGTAAGCCAGACATCATTTGCCGAAACAGATCTCTTACCTGCCATTGGCTGATACGTTGGTTTGTACGGCGACACTGTTTGATATAGTTTTCCATAGTTCCGCCGGTGATCAGCTCAGTGATGATATACATAGTGTTTAGCGTATCTACTATACCATAAATTTCAATAATATTTTGATGTTTCAGATCCTTTAGTAGCTGTCCCTCATTATACATGAAATGTGCCTGAGATTGACTAATTAATAACATTTTGATGGCACACGGCTTACCTGACAACGATTCATTATAGTATAGCTTACCGTCGGTTCCCTCTTTAAAAACAGTCGACTTTTTCTCAGTCATACATCTCTGTACTAGTTCGGGTGTTACCTCACTGTGTTTGTAGGCCAGTTCATTGCATTGGCCAACAAATACTGAACCGTACGCACCACCACCAAGATATTGGCCAACATCATAGCCGCGTACATTCAGCACTCGCCTATCGGACTCTGGTATCTGATTAGGCAATTGAGACATTATTTGTGTCGGCTATCCCTTTCCTTAGGGTCAGTTGATGTTATCAGGTCTCCAATAATAATAAGAACATAAAATTTAATTTTTAATTAATTTTCAAAAATAATAAATTTAATTTTTTTAAATGTAAAAATAATTTAAAGCTTATATAATATAACCAGACAATGGTTTCGTCAATCGGCGCCCAAAATGCCATCCCAGCGGAGGTCAGGCAAATACTTAGCGACTACGGCTTCTAAGTGGACAAGTCTGCAGCAGACAGACAAAGAAGATCTATTCTGAGGTTTTTTTACAATAAGAAAAACTTAAGTGTTTTAATAGTCGACTGCAATTATCTGACACATAATACAATTAATTAAAAATGACAAAATTTATAGCACCGTTAGGTCCTGATCCTGGTGTATTTAGTGTATACTAACTCATGTTAAAATTGTATGTGTGTGTGTTTAAATTATTAATACTTTTGTTATAAAATATATTAATAATTAAACTTTAAAACTTTTTATCAATAATAATTATTAATTATTGAATTATTGAAAAAGAAGATTCAATAGCATTTATAGTTTAATAGGTGGAGTGATTAGTATTGAATGTTAGCTGTATTTAACTTATTTATTATTATTATTAGTTTATATATGATATGTAAGGATATTACTTTCTTCATTAAAAAATACATTATTCAATATTATAATCAAATAAAATTGATATTCTGTACAATGATATTAATTACAAACAAATATTACAAATAATTAATTTTTTATAATTAATTTTTTTTTAATTTATTGTAATATGTTTATGTAGTATTATAAATGAATTAATTATTTAATTAATTAGTTATTTGAATGATAATAAATGTTGAAAAGTGATATAATTGTTTAATTAATATATAAAACAGATATAAACAATTGAGATTTTATTTCTCCAAATTATTGGCTTTTAATTGTTCAGTAATGTTGTTAATAACAGCTCATTCCTAATGATCAGTAGTTATCTATTTATTATTTTATGACATATTTCTAGGCTTACTAATCAGTTCACTAGTGGACAGGGATATTGTTTGCATAATTATAGTTTGGTTTATAGAAATACCGCAATTGTTTTGTTGTGACCTTTTTTTGGCCATTAGAATCGTTACCGAAATACATTATGTATGCCTTTTATTATGGCATTACATTGTCTATATCTATACAGACTTTTAGAGACATATTTCTAAGGGAATGGTCGCTAAGTCATCCCATTGTTAGGTATGGTATCGCTTATTCAATCATTTCAATCATTGTTGGCTTTGAAATTATTTAAACATAAAAAATAAAACAAATTGATAATAAATTGATAATTGAAAATATTCATTTAGTTTATTAGTGTTTTTTATTTTTGTTATTAAATACTACATTAAATATATATTTTTTTATTATTTACCTTATATAAATAAACTTTATATATATACTAATTAATTGTGTCATTGTTTAAAGCATTACAAATAGTGTCTATTAATTTTTAAAATATTTTTTTACTAAATTATCTAACAAATTTTTTATTATTATTAATTTATTGCTAATTTTCTTAAAAATAATAAGCTATATATATATATATACAGTATATATATATATATATTTTAAACAGTTTTACTACTATTAAATATATGAAATAGTTTTCCCAAAATATTTTTTTCAATATGATTTTTGTCAATTGTGTTCAAACAGACAAATTCGTTATTAAATCACAAATTCATTTAATTTTTATACAATACTATCATTTTTTTCTAAATAAATATTTCTATTGTTATATTTCTTTGTATTATCACAGATGCTATAATTTTTGTTTGGAAATAACAATTTTCTGCAGTAAATGATTAGCTAATTAAAAATTTGATTAAACTATATATTGTATATTTACTTATTTAGCTATATTGTCTTATATTTATAGTATAGTAATAATATGCATAYCGCACCTTATTATTAAATAATAAAATAGATTAAATGTTATGAAAATTAATGGAAGCCTTATTGCTGTTATTATACTTGTATTAATACATAATATAATAAAATATTTATAACTTTAATTTATTTTGTAAAATAAACTGTAATCAATAAAACTATAATAAAATCAACATTAATCAAGTTATAATCCCTGATAACCTATTACCACTATTATAATAAAATGATTAAAATAAAATCAATAAAAATATTAATCTACAATATATCTATAGTTAGCTAAAAAGTAATATTATATATTTTTTCTAATTTAAAATAGATTTATCTATTTTTTCAAAAAATAAATATTTTAATTTCGTTGTATCGTTTAAGTCATCATAACTTATAATTTCAATTAAAATCTAATAAAAAATATATGAGAAATTACTTATTATTGTAAAATAGATTATCTCTTTACTATAACTAATTTTTTTAAATTAGTAATTCTAGACTGTTTTTATTTGTCAGTTTTTAGTAATTTTTTAAAATGTATTTTTAATTTGTTTAAAGTAAAGATAAAACAAAAAATAAAAATGTCAATTCAATAATTATTTAAATTGATTTGTCATTAAAATAAGCTATTTTTTTATAAATCTAATGTCACTCATAAAATATAGACCGTAATGTCAACATTTTTGTTTCTCTCTCATTTAAAATAAATCTTTTCTCTTAAATCACATATTATTTTTGGACAAATGTGACGGTCCTATCATAGAGAGGTTGTGTGTGCCGGTGGTTCTCTACCAACTGTCCGCCCAATGCTGCCGTCAAACTGTTATCACGTGTAACAAAACACATGTCTCTAAAGCGGGAGATCTGCGGATAATTACAGATAAAGAAAAACAGATTTGTAAGTAATATTATGTTTACTTTTTTTTGTCGTTACAATCACTACATACCTGATCCTCTGTGCATAGTATGGGATTGGAAAAGACAATCCAAGTGACGGATTCCGATAGTGGCGGTGTCGTCAATGAGCCCGTGTAAGTCCAATACGACTTGTTTTCTGTATATATATAAAATAATTATTTAACACATGATATAACTGATTGTGTTATTTAATAATAAATGTTTTTCCCCCCTAACCTGGCAGTAGTTTAGTAATATCGACATTGTGTGCGATATCACATTTTTCGCCCTTATATCTAACAAGTGTGATGTGCTCTAATAGTTTGTCCAATTCATCGTTGCTCTGTTCGCCGATATCGAGAAATACGCCCAAAACGGCCAAACCGTTTGTACTCATCATAGCATCCAATGGATTGTCAAACTGGCCGGTATTCCAGTGGACAAAATGTAACTAATTATTGGCCCCAAAATAATTAGATAATAATATTAGATATACTAATGATAATTATGATAAGTCATTCAATAAACAGATACCTCAGCTGCATAGCTTTTGCCATTGACAGTATGCTCGGAGCCCACACCGCAATGTTTGCCCCAATGACAATGAAATTGGGCCATTTGGTAGGTGTGTGCCAATGGGCCACCCGATAGCACTAATACGGCATATCATATATCAATTATAAATTAAGTATTTTTCATTGAAAAAAACAAATTATAAATTCAATATAGCAAATAGCCATTAGTTATTTTTTTGTAATTTGATATATTATTAACTAAAGTTATGATAACATTGAATATAAACTGATGAATAGGTTTGTTTTACTTATGATAAGAATTATAAGATTGATTATATTTATGACATAATACATTGCAATCTATCATAAAAAACATTATCATAACTACTATTATTAATAAATAAAAAAATTAATTTCCTGAATACATATAAAGTATCAAATATCTAGAGTAATATAGAATTTATTTATTTATAGCTATATTAGACATGAGTTAGTTATTAGTATAATTTTAATAATAACAATTACTATAATAAGCAAATGATAATAAATATTTTAGTAAATACCTGATTGTTTGGCCAACTGTTCGGGAATATCCACTTTCCAGCCATACCCTGAATTTTGGACAGTTAGTTCAGGAAACACTGTTGGATACAGTATAGTAAGTTCATTTTGGCCAGGTTGCTCCCTGACCACCAAACATTTATCGGTTTCTATATCGATCGGTGACTGGCGACGACCACTGTCGGCAATAGGAAACTTTTGTGGCCATACTTGTGGACCTAAAAAAATATTTATTTATTTTTTTTAAAAATTTGGTATTGTTTTTATTTATTTATTTAAAAAAATATCTAATTATAGTAATATAATTTTTATTTATTACATCATATACAGTACTTACTTGTATTATAGCATACACTAAAACACACACCCATAATTAAATTAACAATATTACATTTACAAAATTGAAAATTKCATTATCTATGATTAGCAAATAAACTACAAATTTTTTTAGCAWAAAAGTTTTATACATTTATAAAACTAGAATATTCTGTTTAAAAATTATATTCCACAATAACTTGATTGTTGTAGTCATTGAAGTACTAATGCTTAATAAAATCAATTTATTTATTGAGTGTATGTTTTTTTATATACACTTATCTCTACTTAAAAATAATAAATATTTGCTTTAATAATATATTATATATTCATAATCTTGTATTTAGTTTACAAATTATATTTAGTTTTAATAGGTTTTTAATGGTTTTCCTTTTACATGGTATTTGTTTTTTGTGTTCATTTTATAAATAAAAAAGATTCTAATAATTACAATTGAAAAATTTTATGACTAATAATTGTGTAAATGTAGACAATATTATTTCTATACTTTATTATATTGAATAATTTTTATTACTAAACAAAAATCCATTAGATATTTAATACAATAATAAATAGACAAAGAAATAAAAACAGTTATTTTGCGGTATAATAGGTTTTCGGTAAAAAAAATTATTATAAAAATATGTTTGTCTTATTTATGACTTAAATATGTAAGTAATACTATATTAACAATTTATTTTAAAAAATAATCTTGTATATTTTAATAGTTAGATATTACAACTATTATGTAATAAACATCATCACAAAGTCGACAATAAACAATAATATTTATTACTATATAATCATATACTATTGATAAGCAATAAATTGTTATTTATATCTTTTTAAAAGTTGCAATTTTACTTAATATATCTAATGAAATATTGATTATTTCATTATTATTCCTGATTGCCTTAGATTTATTTTTATCAAATAATATATTATTTAAATCAGGGTTGAACAAGATTTTTTGGTATAGGAGGTACTGGTGGGGGGGTGGGTGTCAACTAAAAAAATCTTGAAAAATCTAGTGTTAGAGTACTGGATTGCATTTCACAGGATAATAAAATAATATTCCCAATAAATCCCATTATTTTCGGCAAATTTAACTTAAATTTTAAAATAGAAAATAGTTTTTGGATTAATAATGACAAATTTAGAAATAATTAAAAAGTACATTAATTAATTTAGTATTTTCAAGTTAAATATTTTTAATAAAATATAAATATTAAAATTTATATTAACGAAATTTAAATATATACTTATTTTTATCAATTACTCAACTCGATTAAGTTATAATATTAGAATGAAAAATAATTAACATTAAATTTATATAATTTTTTATTTTTTATATAAAAAAAGTAATATTTAAAGTATAATTTATAATTATTATATTAATTGTCTTAAAATAATATTCTACCAATAACATAATTAGTTTATTAAACATATAGTTTATTTTTAAGATTTAAATTACATATTTAAAAAAATAATAATTTATCATATTTAGATTAATTTCTAAGAAGTTAGAAACTATTTCACTTAAAAATTTGATGCAAATAAGTTAGAAAAAAATAAAAATAGTAAATTAACAAATATTAATATTAATTTTTTTATAATTTTAAGTGGGGTCTATTTTTCCTTGTTTTTAAGCCATAATTTTTCAAATTTCCAAATAAGTATGTGAGTAAAATCTCCAAAATCTTGGCCTCTGGGGGGGGGGGTTAGCCGACCTACCCCTACCCACCAGATCTAAACCCTGATCTTAATATCTGCAATTGTATTTGTCTAATAAACAACAAATTAATAATATTGTTATTTGTATCTAATGTCAGGTTTGCAATATATTATTATTAGCCGAAATCCAAAAAAAAAATTATCTTATAATAAATAAATAAAAATATTTTATTTGTTTATATGACTCCCAGTGAGACTATAGGCTATAGCATTATTTATCATTAAAACAATTGTTCAACAAATATTTAAGCACTACAATACTATTTGATATATAAATATAATTTGTTTTATACTATTATATTAAAAGTACATCTAAACGTTTACTCGATATAATCAAGGTAGATATTAAAAGTTTTATTTTATTATTAAATTCAATCAATGTTCAATACAAATTGAAACTACAATTTAATTGATTATACTAATTAAAAATAATGTCCATTAGTCTATACACGAAAAACAGATTACATTAAATATTTATATAAATACTGTATTAATTGCGACATTTTGTTATATGTGTCTCAAATATTTTTTGTGACTTTATTTATATTTATCAACAAAACACAAATTATTTGTCTTTTTTCAACAACAACAACAAAATACACGCAAGTTTTATGTTCAGTTTATACACGAAATTATCAATAATTTTTATTTTCATAAATGTTTTTTTTCTCTATAATAGAAAGACAATATATTTATACGAATACAGTACTACAGTAACTATGATTTGTATAAATATTATTTATACAAAAAAAAGAAAGAAAGCAAATTTGTTAGAAATAATTAATGGATATATTATAGCTAAAGAGCTATATTTTGATAAATGTTAACAACAGTATCACTTATTTAATGGTTATATGAAAATTAGTGGATATTTATGTACTAAATATCTTTTTTTCTATGTGTATATGTCTAACAATATTTTACCTGATATTTATAATAATCCAAAATAAATTATGATGACATTTAATGATTATTATTTAAGGTACATATATTATTATTATGTCAACTTTATTATATATTATTATTATTAACAATAATAATAATAAATTGTTATTTCATAGTCTTATAGTTCATTAGTATTCATAATATAAATGAAAAAATTAATTAAATTACAAATTAATGTATGTATTATTAAAATTGATTACTAATGAAAATTTTTAGCAATAATATGTATTTAGAACTAATTAGAAATATGTTAATATTTAATATTAAAACAAATATAATCAAATTCTATGTTAAAATAATTAATATAGTCTATTTATACAATTTAATTAAAAATTTTATTTACATGTTTTCTACAAAAAAAAATAATTAATATACTATACGTTAATAGATTAATATAATATAAAATGATGTCTATGTTTGATGTAAATATGTATTAATAATATCTAAATTAAATTCAAATTGTTTATTTAGTTGATAAAAGTATTGACTAACTAAACAAAAAATTTAATTTTTCTTTATATATTCTACCGGTATATATAGTCTTATTTATTATGAATTGATTAAAAAAAATTCATAAAGATTTTTATCAGATAAAATGAATAATAAAATTTTTATTGTTAACTATAAGTCTATAACTATATTTATCTTATCTCATTCATTATATTAAATTTGTTATCAAAAAGTGTGCGGTTTATGATTATATTAATGTACTAAACTTAAAACATAAATAAAAATCAATTTTTTTATGACAATTGTTTGTCAAAAGCTATTTGTGTGTCCAAACAATATGTTATTGCTTTTTAATGTGTCACTGGTTTTTACGATAAATATTTTATACATCAATAAATTGCAGAATAAAAACTAAAATTAAAAAACCAAAAATGTTTTTATTATATTATTATTATTCAAATAATTGAAACAGTTTTATTTTTTTTTAAATGTTATTTTGGTAGTAAAAATTATAAAGGGGAATTTTGTACTAATTGAAACTTATTGTATGATAATAATTGTGATGTGCTAACACATTGTTTAATAGTTTCCTGTATCCATAATTATATCTATTTAAGTGACAAATCAATTTGATTATAAATTTTCACTTTAAATAGCATAGAATAAGCTCTAACAGGACTTTCCCTTACAATAAGTCTATTATAAAATACACTACAAAAGTAATACACAATAATACAGATTAATTACATATAATTTTGTTTTCAAATTATAGTTTAGTAATTTGAATGATTTAAAATAATTTAGAAAAAATAACAATAAATTACATAATATAAACTAATAAAAAATAGTTATATTATACAATATATTAATGTATATAAAAATAAAATAAGTATAATAATACTGACTTATAGTATTAGTCATTCATTTTATTTTTAAAATTTTTCTTACAAATAGTTTTTCCTTAAATAAGTAATATTATAATAGATAAGGAAAATTTTATTTTATATAAAAAAATTAAATTTTATCTAATATTATTTTTAAAAATATTAATATAAATTTGCATGTATAAAGTACTATACATGCTAAATGTCACATTATATAAAAGTACTTAATGTTTGAAAATTTTATATTTATAACATTCTGATGGCTATATTATATATATATAAATTATTATAATTTATTTGAAAAAGCTTTTAACAAAAATTAAATTCATTGAAAAAAATATTAACGTAGATTTTAACAATATTTAGTAAAATAATGTAATATCCGTTATTATAGTTTTACATGGTAAAATAACATTTATATAATAATAATTATTATTATAATCTTTAATACCAAAATATATTTTATAATTTATAATACTTAAAACAAAAAGATTACTAAAAATAAAAAGAAATACTTCACTTGAAAACTAATTACATAAAAAAGCTTTTTATTTTTCAATTGTTAATTTTGTTTACACAGTTGATTGAAATTGTAATTTTAGGCAAAATATACATTAATAGTTATTTTCGACTATTGATGAATTAAGTTTTAATTATAGCCACTCAATTAAATAATTATTTACAATATTAAAATTGTTGTTATTTTTACATGTCCTTGATACCGTATTATTTTTATTAATAGAATAAAACAGCACGTTTTTTAAATTTTAATAAATATATTATTAAATTTTATAAAAATAAATTAGTGTTAAAATGAAAATATTGCTAACTTGAGTACAAATATAATGTTACATTTGAAAGTATATATATATATATATACAGTATATACAATATTACATAAGTAAGTATATGATTACTATAAATATCTTTGTTTTATATTTTATAAGTTTAGTTATAGTATGTATCAAAATTCAAGGTTAACACTAATGTATTATACTGTATATACAAGTCATATATACACAATATATATTAATATATATACTCTTTGGTATTTTACTCGTTTAGTGGATCAGTAGAGCACAGTTAGGTTAGAGGGAGATGGAGAGAGAGAGAGAGAGAGAGAGAGAGAGAGAGAGAAAGAGAGAGAGAGAGATAGCAATTTAAAGCCAGATTTTTCTTCATTGATATCGATTGTATGAATTGCTTAAAAATAACGGCACACAAACATACTGTGTATTTGAGAGATTGCTGGCATTGGGATGACAGTGCAAACACTGGATGTGAATATATTGATTGTTTAGCAAACTTGCAAAGCCTATCATCGATCGATATATATATATATATATATATATATATATATATATATATATATATATATATATATATATATATATATATATATATATTCAGTATAAAAATGTATATACTGTACAGTAATATTTATATGATTGCCGTTAGTAAATGGTATTATTGTTTGATATAATTGTAAGGGTATAATACAAATTACTGAATATATTATACTATTAAAGTATAAAGTATTAAAGTTCAGAACATGTTATGTTTAATATTATCAAAACACTAATATATTATACAATATAATCTATATTATAGATCTTCAATAATATTATTAATATTATTATATACAACAGCAAAATCAGAAATAGCTCTTATATATAGTTTTAGGGTTGACTTTCAAATGACATTTCCGTTGGCACACCAAACATGACATTACTATTGTATGTACAGTATGTATGTGTGTGTGTATTTGTGTGTGTATTTGTGTGTGTGTGTGTGTTGTCTAATATATTATTTTTCTCTTTATATAATATATTACAAATACTGTATATATATATTCATTGTGAGATATTAATCTAAATATAGATTAGATAGCATCGTGTGTGTGTATGTTTGTGTGTGTGTGTGTGTGTGTGTGTGTGTATGTGTGTGTGTATGTGTGTGTCTTATAACTTTAATCATAAATCCGATTTCTACATTATAAATGTCTAAATTTTATATGAAATATAATAAATATTTAATTTTTATGCACAATTAAAATATTTTATTATTAGTTAATTATAAAGTGCTATTTTTATTATTAATTTCATACTACGGTATTGTATAGCATCATATAATATAATCGTTTTTATAAATAAAATTCAATTATAATTTATTAATTGTGATTCAAAAATACCAATATTTGCTATTATTATTACATTTGCATTAATTTTATAGACTTATATAAAACACGTTTGTATGGGTAGACCAGCAACTAAGCTAAATACGATACGTGTATAAATAATAATATTTGTAAACTAATTTATTATTAATACAGTATTTATTTATTAACTTATTACTTATAAATTAATTTTTATTTTATTATTTATAAAAATTAGATTTAGAAATATTCAATAAATATAAAGCCCTAATAAATGTATATAAAAAATTTAATGATATATTATTTACATTGAAATTATTATTGTTACATATATTACTTAATTATAATTAGCAATGCTGATAATGAAATATCAATAATAATAATAATTATCAAACAAACTATTAATTAAAAAAATATAAATCATTTATTCTAGAAATAAATTTTAATATTAATATTTATAATACAATAAATTATAATAAATGATATAATTTTTAAAAATAGTATTAGATATTAATTCACATTCTTATCAAATATAAATTTAAAGATTAATTATTAATTACTAAAAAGTTGTTCAACCAAATCAAATTTGATAATTTTATTTTAAAGTTAAAAACAAACATTTAAAAAAGATAGATTTAACACTTTATCAATATTTCTTATCTTTACTATACAATTGTAGTTAAAATATAACTAATTATTTGTCATTTAATAAAAATAATTGACAAATTAATCAAATCTAATACTTTATATTATACAGTATTTTACCCTTTAATAGATAACATTTCATATTTAATAATGTTTGATATTTGTTTATCTTTTTTTCTTATCAATTTATAATTATAAAAATTGATAATTTCAAATCTACTTATTTTCAATATATTAATTATACTAAATTATAATATTAAAAAATTATTAGTATATAATATTTTTTTTTAAATATTAGTAAAAAATCTATTTTAAGATAAATTTAAATACATTTTTTATTCATTGGAGAATATATTATATTTCATTTGACTAGGGTATTAAATAAATTTATAAGCTATTTATATACATAATAATAATAATACATAAAAACTAATATTTATTTTACTAAATGTCATCTTTTATCTAGTGATTACACCAATAAATGCTGTAGATATTTATAAATAATATTTGAATAAAAATATAATAAAAATATAATGTACAGCAAATGAATCTTTATATTTGTTTATTTAAAAGTTTATTTTTTTACAAAAATTTTAGCTAATGGAAAACATTTTTAAATATTGATATTTTTAATTTTTTGATATTTAATAATCAATGTGTATAGAGTATAGTTAATAAGATATTTTTATCTTTATACTTTTTTATTAATTATGCTTTCTATGTCATAAATTTTCCACCTAATGCTTATCAAAATAAAAATGTTTTATAATTTTATAGACTGTAGACTGTAGTGATGAAAACCAGATAATTGAAATGAATAATAAATTTTTAAAAAATAAAAATAACTAATTTTTATTAGTGTAATTAAAACTATAATATTTCTCAATTAAATAAAAAAAAATGTCATAAATTATTTACATTTACTTGATTTTTTATTATTATTTTATAATTGTAATTTAAATATAATATTTAATATATAAACATACAACAGATTACATCGTATAAAAAATCATATAAAAATAAGATTAATGACTTAACATTCACAACATATACATTGCACTTAAATATTGCTATAAAATACTATATAAAGAATGTATTATAAAATACTATTTATATGCAGATTTTATATTGCATTTAAATAGTTTGGTATTAATGAAAGATTTTCAATTATTTTTCTTTTTTTATAATAAATAAAATGACATAAGAGTTTCAAAATTATTATATATTTATATTTAGCAAAATAGAAATTTCAATCATTTTTTCTGTTTATATTTTAATAAATATTATTTTTCTTATTTGTTTAAACTCAAAAATTATAAGTAATTGCTTTAGTATTTTTCATTGCATAACTTGTTGTAATATGAAACCTATATTTAAAAATTATAATAACTATATATATATATATATATATATATTTATATTGAATATTACAATTTATAAGTTTGTGAATCTATATATTGTTTAGAAAGTATTATAAAAATAACCATGTTTATAATTACCATTATGATCACAATATCCCCAGTCACACGTGTCGTTACCCATTTGTAGCACACAAGTAGTATTTATTTAATTATTATTATTATATAAATTAAAGACCATTTTTTAAAAATAATATTTTATATTATATATGTATATATCTATATTTTTATTTTAATTACAAACAAATTACTTGTTAAGCACAACAACTTAATAGTTATAATTTAATTATATATTTTTAATATAATTTTAAACTGTTTTTCTCTTTAAATGAATAAATTATATAAATATATTTTCCTTTTTTTTATAACGTTAACTTTGAACACAATTTATAGCTTTAAAAATTATTTGTATGTACAATAATAAAAATAAAATAATTTGTTATTTATAACAACCTTAACAATAATAAAATATAGATAAATTTCACTCTTTTTAAAATAAATTTATATTTATAAAACAATTACTAAAATTGACTATTTTTATATAACATATATAAAAAATACAACCGTATGTTTGTCGATGAATATAATTATTAATAATAATTGCTATTATTAATAATCTAAAAAAATTACTCAACAAACAAAATTGAAACAAATTGAAATAAATTGGCAATTTTTTTAAATTTATTATTATTATTATTATAAAATTTAATAATAATATAACAATTGAATAAATACTATATGGAAGACTATTAGCAACTATGCAACGGTATGCATTTACAAAGTGCCTGTTCAATGAGATAACGGTACCATAATTATTTGAGATATAGTTATTATTATTATTATTATTATTACTACTATTATTAGTATAATATTATAAATACACACTTAATATTGAGAGATGATGTGATATTTATATTGAAACACATCAATCGTTGTTGTTGTTAGCGAAATACAGCGACTAAAATATTTTTTTTATATATATATATTGAAAGAATTTATATATCGTTATTGAATGAATTAATTATTACATGACTGTTCATCATATCATCAAATGATAACTTTCAATATATTTGATGCACTGATAGCACTCTTTAATATATACAGTATATTAGTTATAAACTCTTCAAATATAATAATAATAATAATGCAGTCAATTAACAACAAGTGATGAACGCATATTTGAAATTATGTTTTTTTTCTATACAGAGCAATTAGATGACAATTATTTTTATACTTTTATTTTTATAACATTAAATGCATACATATTGTTATGCAATATGTTTGTCGCATACATTGCCAAATAGCATACAATGATTTAGCACAAATACCATATTATAAATATACAGTACACATAACAAATAATAATAATAATAATAATAAAACAGTTATACAACACAGTATTTGAAAAAAGGGATGACAAATCTTGATTGGAAAATATTTTTAATATATATTTTGTATTTTTTTGTTAACTATGTATAACACAATTGGTGTTCAATAAAAAGTTATAACTATTTGATATAAAAAATACATTCAACTCATTTATATAGACTTTGGACAATAAGTTTGGATAATCAATGGAGTGTATAATTATTGGGAATGTTGGGGTGGAAAATATATATTTATATAAGAACTGGTAGGTTAGTGTCTAATGTTTATGTTTAAGTGAATAATAAAGTGACTGACAATGTAACAGTGTAAAATTATTGAATTTTACAATTTTTATATACAGAGAGAGAGAGAGAGAGAGAGAGAGAGAGAGAGAGAGAGAGAGAGAGAGAGAGAGAGAGAATTTAATAGAGGAAGGAGTGTGTGACTGATGTATTGGTTCACTGCCAGAGAGAGCACTGTTAGGTGTTTGAAAGGTAGTGGTAGTACTGGTAGAGGAAAATTAAATTAAAATTAAATTATTATATTTTTTTTGTATTGTACTAAACATCAAAAACTAAAATAAATGTTTCTTTTTTAGCTATCAATTATGTAACACAAGAGTCAGTGAATTATTTGTAAAATTGATGTGAAATAAATGTGATGGGTATGAGACATGAGGATAGGCATAAAATATACAGTAGATAAGCATTATTTGTTTATATATATATGTTGTTTTCGTGTGTAGTGTGTGTGTGGACTGTAATGATTGGGGAGTAAACATAATTTGAAACAATTGGGGAAAACATTAAGAGTGAGAGTAAAGAGAGAAAGATTGAGAAAAATTAAAAATAATGTTTAAATGTTATATATATTTGTATTAAACTAAAGCGTCAGTCGAGAGGTTTGTCGAGTGAGTCGAGTATTGCGTGAAAATGTTTTCTCAGTAATACTCTCGCGTCTTATACTTTATAAATAGCTCGCTCTCTCTCTCTCTCTCTCTCTCTCTCTCTCTCTCTCTCTCTCTCTCTCTCTCTCTCATCCCTCTCATACTTCCCATCCCTTTCCCTAACAGAGAGACTCACCGAAGGATTATTGAGTACGCATGTGATGACGATGTGGTGGTATTATTGTTATTATTTTTAGTGATCATTTGAATTGTTATTTTTTAAAAAAATTTTATTCAAATTATTTGATGCTATAATAATAATACTATAGCAATATTGTACTGTATATCCATTATAGTAGATGTCATAATTTTTTTTTTAACTTAAATATATTCATATAAATAGAGTTAGTAGTTTTTTTGATAAAAAAATTTATATTATATGAAATATTTTACATATATTTATTATGTGTGTATATATATAAGTAAATACTGTATGTAAAATGCTTTTAAATAATTTAAATATTGACATAATATTTTTTCAATAATAAATAAATATTTATTATGTTATTCAAATTTATAATTTCTCATAAAATATTTAAAATATATGTATATTAAAATAAATAAATCTATAAATTGCAATTAATAAACAACATCAAATAAATAAAATTTTTATAAATATAAATAATATGAAATTCATTTTTTATATAAATTATTTAATAAATTATATTTTATAAATTTATAATCAACTTGTTTTACGTAAACATATAAATTATATAATATTTAAAATGTCAAAATGTCATTTATATTCATAATGTTATAAAAATATTTTTAAACAAAAATTTTCGAAAATAATTCATCAATAATCAATAAATTTGATTTTTAAAGTCAAAATTAAAAAAACTTTATATTTTTTTCAATTAAATTGCATGTAATATATATCAATAATAAATCAATTTATTTGACAATTTTATAAAAATTTAAATTTATAACATTTTGTTGAAAATCACATTAATATTTTGCTAAAAAAATTATTATTAAAAGACAACATTTTTTATGTTATCTAAGATATTGAACAAAATTATTATTATTATTATAACCTTTTGAAATGATAATCATATTTTTATTAATTTTAATCTTATTAATCTTATAAAAAATCATTTAAATAAAATATATTATATTATGCATCAATAAACAACATCAATAACATATATGAAGTTAATATATATACTTGCTTATATATTTTTAGATTTTTAAAATTAAATGACAAAACATGAAAAACAATAATTAAATTCTCATTAATATAAGATTTTGAATTCAATAATCAATAGATAAAACATTAATAATAAAATAATTTACTTAAAAGTAAATTAATTTTTCAAAACAAATATTTAGTAAATTTATATTGCATTAGGTTTAAAAATCATATTATTTTATATTTGCAATTTACTGTAATTAAAAATTAACTTACAGATATTAAAAAACATTAAATTAATATTTATTAAAAGAAAAATAAATACTTACAGTCAATTTTTTGGACACAAGTCAATGACATTATATTGAATATTTTAAAACAAATTTATATTTTTAAAATTATTATAAGATTTATGCAAAAAATTAAAGTTAATTAATATTGTTTTTTAATATTGTGGTGTCATTAGTAGAAATTAATCACAAAATTATTAAGTAAAAACTTTAGTATATAAAAATCTTAAATACACTTTTATAGTTTGTCACTAAAAAATTATTAGTACTTTTTTACTTTTTGTCATATAAAAAAGTAAAAAAAACCAAAAAATATAATTTTCAATAATATTTTTTTTTTGAAGACTTTATTACCGGTTCAAGTGGTGATATCGACACCTTATATACACTACTAGACTGTGTAACCGAGGAATAGTTAGATAAAAAAAACTCATTTATTTTGGTGGCAAAACATACTAACAAAAATTGTTTTGTTTATCACCAATAAGTTCAATACAGTGAATAATAAAGTAATAATAATACTAATAATATGATAGATAGAAACGCCCCGAAAGCACAAAAAATACTAGTAATACCATGACTTGAGGCTATTATCAAAATTAGGACTATCGTACTAAACATACTTTACTGTACTTTAAATTACAATTATTTTATACAAAGCTTTAAAATTGTGTATTTTTAATATTTATGTACATATAAACAGTATTTAGTTAAAATTATCATGTTGACTATATTTTATACCCGGATGATAGTTGTTTATAATAATAATAACAACACAAATACAATAAATACTGTATTTAAAATACAAGTACTAAAGTAATAGCGGTATTTACTTTATGAATAAGTATTTTATAAATATATTATTTTGATAATTAATTTTTAAATATGATTATAGAGTATAATGTTTTTTTCTTTATAAAAATAACATAAAAAATTAGTTTTCTTTTGTTAGTATATTATAATTAGTATAATTCAATAGTAAATTGTATATAAAAAATATAAAAAATTTATATAAAAAACAATACTCACCAATGTAGTCAATTAATGTATCGGTGTATTTTTGAAATTTAAGTTTATTTTCATCAACAAATGTTTTCAGTTTATTAGTATCCGTGATAATCGTTTGAAAATTATCGCTAATATTATGTAGCAGTTGTTTGATATTTTTGTCAAATGAAATATCACTAAATTTTTGAAACATTTTTGTATATATATATAGATATATTTAGTTAATAGACTAACTAAATTTGCTTTAAAAAAATATTAACTAAAACTACTATTAATATTAAAATTGTAAATTTTTGGAGCATACATAGTACCGGTATATAACAATTATTATATTTAAAAGACTACTTATCAATGAACATTAATCTAATAATTTCATATATATTTGTTTTGTTTGTTTGGTATGTATACGTACTTTATCGTTGCTATTTGATAATGACTAAGGTAGGTAAGGGACAGTTATATTCAGGTGCGCATTCAATTGTCAATACTTCAATTGTAGGTTATATGATATAAAAGTTATATGTTGTATAACAGTCGGTTAGAGTCTATTTGTATATGACATTTGTATTTGACAATGAAATAGATTGCATGAATTGTATAAAAATAATTGATTTTTTTCAGATGCATCTAAAAATAATTCTGTATTGTTATTATACAAAGAGTTATTTTATCAATATTTATTAATTAAATTATTTGATATTTTGACTATATATGTAATCAATTATTTAAATTACACAATATAAAATGTACAAAAATTTACATTAATAATATATTGTGAATTAAAATAATTTTTCATTTAATATAATATTTTCAATAGTATTAAAATATTTTGTAACATAATATTGTAAAAAGTTTTAACTATTTAAATACTAATTATATAAATAAGTTTTATTAAACAAATAAATAATGAGTTTATTTCTAAAACATAAAAAGTAATTATTAAAATTCCAAAAAAATGTTAATTTCTGATTTTCAATACTGAATATATAATATTGAAAAAATAATTTATATTTTAATATATTTAGTATTCATATAATAAGTTTTAATACATTGAGTTTAACAGTTTAAATGATCTCAATCATAATCACTCCATATATTGATATCATTTTCATACGAAATTTTTCCCGCTTTAAACTCTATGTTATGTTTGCTAACTATTTCTACATTTTTTATTATACATTTTATATCTGATTTGCTTCTCATCAATGGTTTTGTATATCTTTGAATAATCTTTCTATTTATAAAAAAAATTGGATAAAAATTTTACAAAATTAACTGATTTTTTTAGAAAACTTAGAAAACAGGTATATTTAATATATAATAACTAAAATTTATTAGTACAATTAATATTAATACAGTTAAATTAATGTAGTAGAAATTAATATATTATAATTAATTTAGATAATAAGATATAAAATAAACTAAATAAGATAAGAAATAAGATATTGTTTTAAAACTTATTTTCCAAACTTAACGACAAATATATGCAAACCTATGAAAATGCAATTTAAGAAAGTATTATAAATTTAATTAGTTTACAAAATTAATATTTATTTCTATAGAATAATATCAATAATGAGTTATCAGTTTTACTTAAGTATGTATTTATTAATTTTTTTCGACAATTAATTTTTAGGTTAATAATGTAATAAAATAACTATCAGGGAATTTGGTAGTATTTTTTGAATCATTTATTAAAAATATAATAAACATAATTAACTATTATTATTATTATACATTAAATATTAATGTTTAAAATTAAAATAGATATATAAACTGTATATCTAAAAATAAAAATTATAAATGATTTAATGAGTGATCACTGATATCATCTATTTCTTAGACATATATCTATTGATGGATTCGGCGATCTTATCAAATGTTTTATCTGTTTCATAGTCTTTATCTCCGGCTTCGACGGTCTCGAAGTTGAGTTTTCCTTCCAAACCCTAAGTCAAACATAAAATAGAAGATTATTTGCTAATTATTCAATAATTTGTTGTCATCTAAAATCACTGGACATACCTTTTCGGGCAAAAAGTATGCATTTTTAATCTTTTCGCTAATCTCTTCGGGTTTGACATCATTTGAAAAGTCGTACGGTTTGATGACCAGTACTTTACCATTAATTTTCATATACTTGGATAACACATCCATTTTCATCTTTTTATATTTGTTTTTCATATTCAACCGATGAGTTGTAAAAAGTTTTGCCCGTTTGAAACTATTGGTTAAAATTTCATCCAAATCTTTGCCGGTCAACGACTTGCCACAGAACCCTCTGACTTCTGCCGATATCATCTCCAGTTTCGACGGCACATCCGGTTTAGTAGATATATCTCTTTTAAGTTTAACTTTCATTACATACGGCATGTCTTTTGTAATAATCGCTATAATAGTGTCCATCAAATAGTCGTCGGTTATCATCTCTTCATCAATTGTCACCTCTGAAAGCATGTCTATGATGACTGCTTTGCCTACCGGTGCTTTCTTCAACATTTTCATAGCCAACAGTGCACCGTAAAAATGTCCCAAAATATCGAAATCGCCTTTCGGTTCCAATACTTTCATCAGATTACAGTAGTAGCGGTTAATCTCTTTAATCGTTTTGAGATTTTCCATCTCTCGGATCCAATTAAGACAAATGACTGGACGATCAAGTTTTTGAGCTAATCCTTCCAGCGAAGCAAATATGCCCTCCAGTGGTGGCAAAAAGTAAATGGGTTTACCAGTGGTTACGTTGTTTAGTCGGGTATATTGTTCGTTGGGTATAATAAACTTAACTTTAGACAGTTTGGCTCTACAACTCTTGATTTCATCGGCAAACTGTTTCATTTCGTCTACCTTTCCCTTTTCAAAGTCCTTCATCATACCAATGGTGATGTTTTTTATGTCATTCAGCGTTACTTTAATGTTATATTCTCTTTCCAATCCCTGTTGTAGTTCCACTGCAAACATAGACTCCATACCGATCTCACCTAATGTTAAGTGATTGGGTGTTGTCTTGGGATCGATACCCAGTGCCACCCAAACCTGATTCACAAGTTTGGACTCTTTAGTGCCGCTCGTAATTTCACGCTTAGCTCTCATCTAAAATTAAACCACAAATGAAATAATTATAAGTTTAATTAATAATTGATTTTAATGTCTTAATGTTTTAATGTTAATATATGTGAGTAAACATACCAAACATGAAACCACAGCGTTATCTGATTGCAATAATTTATCCATAATTTCTAAACAAGAATTAACTCTTTGTTTAACCACAGCAGCCAAAGAATTGTTGATATCAGAGTCAGCCAACACACCGACATCACCGATAGGTCCCCATTGAATGGCCAGACCGTGCAGTCCATCTCTACGTCGAGATTCACATATGCGCTCACAAACAGAATTAGCAAATCCATAGTTAGATTGTCCGGCATTTCCTTTACCACAAGCGACGGACGAAAAGACAACAAAATAGTCTAAATCTATACTCAATTCACGTGTTATGCGATCCAAGTTCTCGAAGTTCTTAGTCTTAGAATCAATAGTTTCCTGAAATTTATCAAAAGTATGGTTTTCGAGAAGACAGTCGTTGAGTACGAGAGCCAAATGGAAAACACCACCAATTGGTCCCAATTTCTGTGCTTCGCTTAACAACTGTTTAGTTCCTTCGCTAGTATTGGTGTCATGAGTTGAGACTAAAACATTTGTATCAAATTGTTTCAATTTGCCGCCCAATGCCTTCAATCGCTCCAAAATAAACTTCTGATAATCAGTTCTAACGCCCTTTCTTGAGGTGAGTACAAACCTACGGGCGCCCAAAAACAACATCCAATGTATAAACTCCATACCAAACCCACCCAAACCTCCTGTAATGATATATGTCTTGTTAGGGTTGAAATAAGTTTTTCTGGTGACCATTAACTTCTTGGACGGATTGAAACCCGTTTTGGCCACTTTGGCCTCTTCCTCATCTCTCATACGAATTACAATCTTTCCGATATGTTTACCGGTAGTCATGTATCGAAAAGCCTTCTCAATCTCTTCGGCCTCAAAGACATTCTTATTGATCGGACGTATCATACCGTTAGTAGCGTTTTCGTGCATCCAATCAAAGAACTTCTTAGTGAATCCTCTTTTAAGATAAAGTTTTTGGTCGACCGACACACCAATGAACGAAATGTCTCTCAAGAAGGCAAACATTCCCAACTGTTTGTTCATTTGTAGGTCATATTTACCGATCTCAACAAAGCGACCGCAATCGGCAACACATTCATAACTGGCGTCCAGTTTATCGCCGGACAGTGAGTTGAGAACCATATCGACGCCCTTTCCTTTAGTTATCTCTTTAATTCTATACTTGAATTGAGTATTTCTTGAGCTAAATATCCTGTCTTCAGGTATCTTATAATTTTCAATCAAGAATTTGCGCTTATCTTCGGTACCGACGGTCACAAAGATATCGCAGCCGTAGTACTGGCAGATACTGATGGCTGCCTGACCCACACCACCGGCGCCCGAATGTATCAAAATTGATTCACCTATTATTTAATAACACAATATCTAAGTTATTAAAAAGTTATAAAAATAAGTAATGATTTGCAATACCTTTAACCATATGTGCCCTTTCAATCAGTCCATACCATACAGTACTATAAGTGGACAGTATGGTGACGGCATCTTCCATCGACCAGTTATCCGGTACGGGTGACACTAAATCTGAGTTCACATCAATAGACGTGGCATAGCATCTGCTCATATCGAAACCACAGACCCGCTCTCCGGTATCAATACGACGTCCGGCAAACTCGAAACCGATGAGACAATCGGTGAACAGCATCTGAGGACCCGAAGCGATACGGCCTGAGATGAGATGGAAAATATGTTTTAAATTTTAATATAATTAACAATAACCTTAAATATCATACCTGTGGCAAACATGACGTCTCTGAAGTTCATACCGGCACAGTATATATTACACGGTATCTTATTTGCCGGCAAATTGATAAAATCGTAACTTTCTTCAGCCGACACCAGATTCTTGAGGTCATACCATTGCAATGAAGCCAAATCGCGATTGTGGCCAACATTGAGGAAGTATTCAGTCGACTCTTTTTTGTCATAATCTTTAGTCAGAGTGTAGTGTCTGTAAGTACCGATCTTTCCGTTTTTCAACACATTTATTGGCAGATCGTTAGACAATATATCAGAGAACGGCTTCTCTTTAAAGTTGACTGTTTTGGTCAAATTGTCGTAATCGAAGATACATCGGATTGTCTCACCTCCCGGTTCCAGACGTAAGCAATTAACGAGACCAACGATTCCGTTCTTTTGTGAGTCGTTTGCAATGAGCCATAAGTTTTCATCTGTTTCGTCGTTTTCCTGCATTTCGATAATTTTTTCTTTTAGTTTTTCAAACCATTTCTCCGTATTTGTGGTATTTATTTCAATGATATTATCTTTTTTTGGTACTTTTGGTTCTGTGAACAATTTGCGGAACATTATGGCCACTGATCCGATTGTGTCAGTTTTGCGGCCAATTATGTTGAAACCAACAGATTGTGCCGTTTTGACAAAATCTGTGATACGTTTGCTTAAACAAAAATTATCGATATGTTGTTTACCGTTCATCTGATTCAATGCCAACTCTGGTTCAGTGAACTGATACCTGAAGACACACAATAAGAATCCTTTATCAGCGATGAGATCGAAAACGTCTTGCAATTGTTTTTCTGTGTCCACTTCCCACATGTCGGACGAGTCGCGTATTATCACAAAATTAGCCGATGGGATATCATTGGGAAACACCGACTTCTTGTAGTCCCATTCAATCCACTTAAACGACTCTTTCTTAAGATCATCGCTTATCGAATCCAATGACTTGACGGCCACCGTATAGTTGACATCAATCGGATAGATGTGAGAAGTGGCCAATTGATTATCTATTTCTTTGACTAATAAACCGTTTGTTAAGTTAACTTCCAAAACATTGATCTCTTTTTTCGGTACAATACTCTCACTGACAATATCGACAAACGCACGGATCAAATGCTCATTTTTTGTGATATCATTGATGATATCAAAAGACATATCATATTCCATATTCTTTTGCAAATCACTTAACACCTGATTTGTATCGATATTACGATTTTCATCCAAACATCCTTTATATAACTCGTTGAGTGTCTTAAGCATAATATGATTATCTTTAATATCAGACAAAGACTTTTTTACGTATTCATCGACAGATTTATTACATTTATTGTTATTATTATTGTTTGTATCAATTGATTGTTTTATTAGGTTTGCCATCGATGAGCAAATCTTTATATAATCTTTGACGGTTTGTTTATTATACTCGTCAATAGCCATACTGTCCTCGTTTGGCAAAAACTGATAGGATTCGAGTCGCAAATCTTGTGTCTGTTGTTTCCTTTGTATGGGAAGTGCCAACAGATTTTCTACTTCGACGCCGTGTGTGATAATCATACGGGAATTCATGTCAACCATAAATGGTATAACTGATGGATAAATGTAAAACTCTTTACCGAACAGCTCTTCAATATACTCGACACTATTGGTGTTAAGTATTCCCTCTACTTCTTTGACCTCATCGTTCTCCACTCTCTTCTCAATCAGATCATTGATGGCGTCATCGGAAACTTTTTCTTCGTATTTTGGATCAACAAACTGTTGCTTATACTTAGCCACTCCTTCGTACAATGTCTTCGGGTCGCATCTCAGCGACTTAATCATCACCGGAACCATCATCTTTCGGAAAGCCATTGCAATGGCCATTGTCTGAAGCACAGAGTCCATAAATGTGACCCAATTTCCATCCCATTGGATCTCACCGTACAGGCGATCAAAGTTGTCGGTCTTAATGTTCTGAATTCGCCTAAATTTTGGGCCGTAATCGTAGCCCAATATCTTAAGATCTTTGTAAATATCGTCTGCCGTAAGTGTAGTTTCAAAGTCTTTTGAAGCTAATCCTTCCGTCTCTTCTATTAAGATATTTTGTAGAGACAGTGCGTACTCGTCTGTCGTGCGAACCTTTCCAACGCACGTGACATTACCGGCCTCTAAGATAGCAAACTCTCCGGACACGTCGTGATACTTGACTTTAATACGTGTGATGTCTGTGTCCGACAAGAATATCGGTCGCCGAAACTGAACGTCCTCAAAGACGACCGGCAACTGGTTCCACAATTTGCCGTACTGTGCGGCCATACGACGCCAGGCGAGCATAAGATAACCGGTGGCCGGATATAACATATTTCCGTCGATACAGTGTTCCGGTAGAAAGGCTTTCATTGTTTGCGATGGATTGTAGATCTCATTCAAATCGGAAGCTGTCGACCGAAAGAAATAGTCCGGAAACTTACGGACATTGCATGAGTACGAGTGATCCCATTTGATAAGCGAACTAATCGATTGTGTGCTTCGGGCCACTGGCCACTCAACTCTCGGGTATAGGTTTTCAATATTAGGATTTAAACCCAACTCATAGAGCTTTGCAATGGATGTCAATAACATATCGAGATTTGTATCGTTGGAGTCTTTTCTGATAAGTGATACATAAGTTCCCGATTCAAGAGTTTCTTTAACTGCTTTGGAGAAGAGTCCGTGCGGTCCGATCTCCAGAACAATAGCATCTGAAGGAATATTCTTGAATTTATTATAGAAATATACGGGACTAATGAGGTTATGCACAAAATACTCGGCTGACGCGGTCTTTAGCACGTCATCCACATCTGAGTCTAGCAGTGCTGTTGAGATCCAAGACTTTGATCGCGGCTTTGGATTGGGAACCACTTTCTTCAATTCATTAATCAATTTATTAGCTGAAGACATGAGATATTCGCTATGATATGGGATGTCATGACTTTGCAGTTCACGAACAAAAACTCCCTTTTTATTCACCTCTTCTACCATTTGTTTCGTCTCTTTATATAAACCTTAAAAATACAGTACAAAACAGTAATAGTTTCTATTAACTCAAAGTTAACATAAGTGTAACATATTTTTTAAAATAGACTATTTTGTAAAATACCTGATATGACAACAGTGTCTTTACCATTGTTACACACAACAGACACGCCTTTCGGACAGATTTTCTTTGCCTCACTCCATGACATCCCTACCACAGCCATCAGTCCCTTTGGTATCTTTTTATCACTTTCTGTCACAACTCCTCTATAATATGTCACTAAAAGTGCCTCTTTGGCAGTCAGTGCTCCGTCAGCATAGGCAGCGGCTATTTCACCGAATGAGTGTCCAATAATACCGTCGGGTGTTATACCCAAAGCATTAATAACATCAAACAATGCAATCTCTATAGCAGTTGTGGCACAGAATTTATTGGTCATTGAGTTCATAGAGTTGTTGTCATCAGATAATAGCAGATGTTTTAAGTCAATGTCATAGGGTTTGAGTATTTCATGGCATTCCTCTATTTTATCGGCAAATATCTTGATTGGCATCAATGCCTTAGCCATACCTACCCATTGACCTCCCAGTCCAGGAAATAAGAAATATATGGGTCGTTTTGATTTTAATGTAAACAGTGACCACTGTTTCTTATAGTCATACTTATTATCACAAGTTTTCTTAATAATTATTGAGCCTATTTAATATACATAAGAAAATCAATCAATTATTTAATTATTTATATTTATACCTCTATATGGAAATCCTGATGAAGTAATATAAGGCTCGACTTTCATAATATTTGTTACCAGTGCCAGCAAATCACGGCTGACTTTCTGTGGATTGTCTTCAATCCATTTGAAGAAACTATTTAATGCCGACTCAGTTCTGCAGCAAATATTAACAATTCTGGGAATAGTGTCCGCAATGTTGAGACTGTCCTCATCGGCCACTTTATAGTTTGGCTCAAGTAATACGTGTGCGTTAACACCGCCAACACCGAAATTGTTGATTCCGGCAATACCTATATTATTCAATAAATTTCAATAATAATTATTTTAAACATTTTATTATTAATTTTTTTGCAAACCCGGTGTATATTTCATATTTTCAGTAACAGGTTGTAGTGGTGGACACAATTCTTTGATATTTTCTTTAATTTTATTTAAATGAAGACTCGGAGCAATGCATTCATTTTCATAAGCGAGTAGTACTTTAGTCACAGACGATGCCCCGGAGGCGCCCTCCGCGTGACCGATATTGCTCTTTAATAAGCCAACTGGTAGTACTCCCTCGCGTTTAGGTTTTCCACAGTAAGCATTATATATGGCTCGGGCTTCTTGCGGATCCCCTACCTATCATATCATTATATCGTATACTAAGTATTGTAAATAATTTCAAGCGATATATACCTTAGTTCCAGTCGCGTGCGCCTCRAAATAGTTGACATCTCTGGGGTCGACATTAGCCTCTTTGTAGACCTGAACCATAAGCTCTTCTTGACTTTCAGCAGAAGGGAAGAACATACCCATCCGTTTATTGCCGTCAATATTAACACCACTGTTCAATACAGTGGCGTAAATGCGTTTGGCATCTGATTTTCGTTGCAATAAAAAACAACTAACAGTTTCTCCCCTAACAAATCCGTCGGCTGACTCGTCCCATACTTTGGGAATACCATCCGCGGCGTTCAATCGAGTCGATTGAAATATATGGTTAGACAGAGCCTGCAAACATATCTGAGTGCCGCCGACTATGGCCTGTCGGCACTTCCCTAAAAACAAATATAATTAAACAATATTTTATGAACATTTAGAGGATGTTTTTTATTACCTAATCTAATGTCATTGAATGCCGTATTGAATGCCACTAAACTCGATGAACAGGCCGTGTCGATGATCATTGATGGACCTCTGAAGTCATATACAAATGATATGCGATTGGCGTACAAACACTTTTGAGCGCCCGGTAACCATAACAGGGTTTCAGTCATAGTAGAYTGAGAGTCCGGCTGTACGTCTTCRGGCAGACCTTCGGGCATTCCGAACGACGAGAAGCCGATATAAACGCCAGTGTCTGAGCCTCGGAGTGATTGAGGATTTATACCTATTATGTAATAAAAGCATATAATGGTTATCTATAATATATCTATAAAATTGAATAACATACCGGCGTCAACTATGGCCTCGTAGGTGGTCTCCAACACAATACGTGACTGCGGATCAATCACGTCGGTCATAGTGCTGGTGATRCCAAAGAATAGACCATCAAATTTGTCAATATTTTTCAGTTTACCCATACGTGGGTTCATACCATACAAATCTATAMCAATCCATTAGATATTATTTATTAATAGTTTATTTTTTAAATAAATTAATTATTGTAAATATTAATCACATTTAAAAATCTCATTATTTACTAAAATTAATTAACTTATAAATTAAAAATAATTTTTAATTAATATATGAAAATTATGATAGCTTTGATGACAAATATTTTAATATATGAGATAAAAATTAATAATGAAATGAAATAAAAAATTATTAAATATTCTTAAAATACTAATACTTTTTGAATGTCAAAATCAATCTTAAATTTTTTCATCATTTATCACTATTGTGTTTTATAAACTAATTTTTAATTAAATAAATATATGTCATATTAATTTAATTAACATAATATTCATAAATATTCTCTAATTTACATAAAATATAATATTATTGTATTAGAAAGTCATATATTAGAAAGTTTTCAAATGAAATAAAAAAAATTAGTAAACCTGTTGGCCATCGCCTGTCGTCAACAGTAATCATATCGACTTTATTATATAAATTGTCGGCAAACTCATCGGTGGAGTCGGACTCCGGGAATCGGCCACTCATACCACTGATCACTATATCCTCGTTCACCACTTGCCACACAACACGCGGCATATTTGAAGACATGTTTGTAAATTTTACGTATTTTTAAAAATATAATTCAATTATTATTTAGTAAATTGAAAAGAGTATTAATTTTTTTAATAATCTAAAGTTTATTCAAAATATTTAAAATCAATTTATATTATTTTTTGTCTTTGTGATCTAACAACAAAAAATTCAATTGTGTAAACGGGATGTCATATTTATAGGTGGTGGACAGGTCCATAATTATTTAAAAACATAAGTATTTAATTTATAGTAACGCTAATATTATAAAAACAAAAAAAAGCAATAATAACAATAAAGAAAACAACATTGATTGTAATTAATCAGACAATCATTAATTAATTATAATATTATGCATGTATTGAATAAATTTATTTTCCATTAATTGTATTTCATTTTTTGTTACCAAATAAAATGCCAGTATATTAAAAAAAGTGCAAAATTAATGGGGCTAATTAAGCACATAAATTGTTTTGATAATTATTATCAAACATCAATAGGGCTTTCCTCATCAATGATTACAATTATTATTAATATAAAATCTTTATGTATTTTCTTATATATTGTATGTTTGTTTTTAAATTATGTAACAATTTTATTTGTTTATTTCTTTCATATAAGTTTAGTTAAATAATGTATTTTATGATAATCATTAGTTTTTTTGAAAACTATTATCAATGTGTTATTTWCTTATTTTAATAGTAATTTTTTCTTWAATATATATTTATTTCTAAAAATTAAAAATAGTCTACTATTCATAAAACTAAATATAGCTTAACTACAAACAATAGTCTATTCAATATTCTATTGAATAGACTATTGTTAATATATTAACTATATTTAGACTAATAAACTCAATAAACATAGTAATCATGCAATTTACTTCAATTCAGCTAGCTAATTTCTTATAAATATTAATGATAAACACTAATGTATATAAATGTGTGATAATGATTGGTCAATATTTCACAGACATATAATTTTTTTTTAAAAAAAAGTTTATTTCCAGTTAATAACTAAAAATCCAAGAAAATAAAAATTAATTAACACAAYAATATTTTGTTAATTGTGTTATTTATGTTTGTCACGTCAGGCACACGTGTTAATTTATTATTATTTTTTAACATTTAATAATATAATTAGTTTAGTGTTTATTGAGATACAGTAATTTTTTTWAAACATTAAAAACTATAAATCATCAAATTTATAATGATTTTTTTAGAAACCTTGAACCTCACAAACAATATTAAACTGGAAAATTTATAACTTAGTAATTAAATATATATATTTTCATATAATTTCAATAAATATTTTTAATTAGAAATAATTAAATTAATAAAGTAATTAATAATAATCAGTGTTAGGAAATATATGTAAAAAAGCTATTATGAATAGTTTATATTATCAATTTAACATTGTATTTTAAAATTAAATAACAAAAACAAAAAAAAAATAAAATWATATTTAAAACATAACACTRTTTAACAATATAGCACAACAGTATTACATAATCATAATTTTTAGTTATATTAAGTTAATTAAATTGTAGGAAAAACATCAGGATATGAGGCCAGTGTCGATATAGCGCATTGATTGTGATTGTTTCGGCTCATCCTAATATATCCCTGTTCTCCAAACTCAGTTCCCCACGAGTTCTTCACCAGCCAATAGTCTTTGCCTGTTTTACTGTCAGTTCCGTAACCGACAGCCAACACACAGTGATTGATGCGATTAAAGTTTGGCGAACAGGTCTTGTCATTGAAAAGACCGCCCGAATAGGACATAAAATTGCCCGACGCCTCGATGCACACCGATATGGGACCGATAGTGGCCACGGCTTCTTGTAGTATGGATTCGTTGCCCGGCGTCAGTATAGCAAACGCTGTTGCCTTAGCGCCTATGGATGTTGTACTGTAATTGCATTTTTGGTCATCACCTTTATATGGATAAGCATTTTCGGTGTCGATTCCCTAAAAGTATATATAGTATATAATGAAATCATATTAATTATTTTTTAAAAGCAATAATATGAATCTACTGTTATGACTTACTTGTGCCACTCGTATAACATATTCATAGGCAATGTAAGGCCAACCACCACCACAGCCATAGTTGCCTATATCACGGGTACAGTCAACCAGATTTTGTTCGGACAACGAAACCAAATCTTTAGTTGCTTTAGAGTGCTGTCCTTCCAGAGCACCGACCACTGAGAAGGCCATCACGAACCACAACCGCCTTGATTTTTAACGGGTGTCACCAAATTTTTGGTGCGCCAGTCAACCGATTTAGGCAATGAACTTAAGTTACCATTGGGCTCATGTAGCCGAGCACCGGTCAACTGGACTTGTGGTACGGATCGGTAACCCATTGATAAYGTTTGTACTTCTTTTAATGTCTAAAACATARAAAATATTAATTATTTAAAATACTAGAGTAAAGACATACCATATCGGAAAACTTATTGACACCCTTATAGTATGACTCTTTGCCTTCATTGTATCGCTGATTGTGTGCCAATATCTCATGTTTAGTGGACAGGTATTGTTTGTAATGTAACTGTTCATCTRATGTCGATTTGTATATTTTGTCATACAATTTCTAGTGTATAAATAATAATTAAAATATAGATTTGTTTGAAAATATTTTAATAATTATTGAAATAAATAATTTATTTATAATTTTTTTAATGATATTTACTTTAAATTGTTCCCATTCTTCATCACAATTAMAATAATTGTTTACCAAACACACAAATACAATGAATATTAACAAATATTTCATATTTTGTAACCAATTTATAACAATATTTTCAACAACAAAAAATATTCAATAATATTTAGTTTCAATTAAATTTAAAATAATTATATAATTGTTTTTCAATAATTAATCGGATATTTATATAAAAATTTAAAACAAAGCAAAAGTTGATTAACTTTGTTTAAAATTRTTTATTTACTTTATAACATTTTTGTTATCAAATTAGGCACATGAGATCTAATTATATTTATATAGTTTATATAGATAAATTTTTAAATAGTTATTATATTGTATTATATAATGTATAAATACTAAAAATAAATATTAATGATATRGTTTATAGATTTTATGCTTTYTTAATATTATATATATATATATACTGTATATCTTTTGTATTGATATTTACTATATTGAAAATATTACACCAAATGTAGGAAATACTAATATAAGTTATATTATCACATAAAAGTTATTTAATTCAATTCATTACAAAATTTAATTACTAAATGGATGTCTTTGTTTGATTRATTAATTTAAGTATTTGATAAAATATAAGATTACATAATTWTAATGTATATAAAATATCAAAATATGAACACATATTTTTAGTGAAATTGAATTGATTATTTATAAATATTTAGTAACTAATCTAATTTATATTAAGTTTTTTTAATTAAATTATTCTAAAAATTATATTTTGTTATTCATAATAAAATAAAATTAATGTTATTAATATTCAAGAAAACAAATAAAAATATATTGATAATAATTGCAAAAAATAAAATTATGTCATAATTTAGATTAAAATAAAAAAAATGTATATGTAAATGGTAGCAAAACGTAACCAAGGTTATACTTAAGTGCAAGRTTAATAATTTTTATTAAATTTAATCATATACTATAAGTACTAGTAATTTTCTATACATTTCCATTTAAGTGGTATCAAGAAACTGTTAAATAATAATAAGATATAAACGCAAATGAATTTAGTAGTAATTTTATAGTTAGTACAACAGGTACTGTATTGTACTGTACTGTAATTAAAGACTCAATGATGTCTACTAACTATTTAAAAAATAAAAATATTTATTTTATATATATTAAACAAAAATTAGCTTTAGATTTTTAATGTGTATATTAAAATTTATATTTATAATTTATATAATAATCTATAATTTTAATACTAACATTATTTTTAAGATAGTATAATTGTTAGTGTTGGCAAAAAAGAGAAATTTATAAAATAATAGAGAAATTTCTAGAAAGTTTCTAAAAGAAATTTCTATTTATGGGATCCCCATGGTTAATTTTGTTTTCTCAATATTTGTTATCTTTAACATTGTTTTTATAAGTAATATTTAAATATTAGTATTAGTATTTTAATTATTAATTAAAGTAAAAAATTTATTTATTTAATTATATTAAACTATGATATAATAAAATGGTGAATAAAATTTTATAAAACTGATTATTATTAAATAATTATAATTATTTATATAGGTATCCCATTTGTATAATATAGTATTATACAGTAATCTACATTATATAGTATAATATTATATGTATAGTAGTGTCTCATTAATATATTTATAGTTTTAATATATCTATAGAGATGGGGATCCCATAGTATAACAAAAAAGTTAAATTTCTATAGAAATTTATTCCTGAGAAACTTTCTAGAAACTTTCTCAGGGAAATTTATTAGAAACTTTCTATTTGCCCATCTCTAATAATTGTGCAAAACTTATTGCCAATTTTAAATATTTATTGTTATCAAGTTGTAAGGCAATTGCACTAGATCAATTTATTAAATTTTATTATTTTCTTATAAATATTTCATAAATAGTTATACTTAAATTAATATTTACAATTTAATAGCATTAAAAATAAACTAGAGTAATATAAATAATAATAAAATAAATATATTATAAATTTAATAATACAAAAAAATAACAAATACTATTACATTTTAATTGATAATTAGACCAATTCGTTAACCAAATAATATTTAAATTATCGATCTTTTATTAAATTAGAAAATAATTAAAAACAATATTATTTATTTTTTAAAATAGACATTAACAATACAACAGATAAATATGTAAATGTAAAATTGCCAACTAATCTATCATTATAACCAAATGTTTGCATAATACCACTATTGTTGTCAACATTAAATAATTAAAATAAACGTTTAAAATTAACAATCTACATTATTTTATTTATACAATAT